GCTCTTCCGATCTGGCTGGAAAATGACCAGCTAAATCCAGCTTAAACCAGCTTGACCATCCTAGCCAAGCTGGGAGTCCAGCCAAAACCAGTTATGTCCAGCTTAAACCAGGCTGGTCAAGCTGGTTTTAGCTGGTTTTAGCTGGTCATCTCCCAGCCTGACCAGCTAAGACCAGGCTGGAAATGGCTGGGAAACCAGCCTGGAAATGGCCAAAACCCCTCTAAAACCAGCCTGGTCGACCAGCTAAAACCAGCCAACCAGCCTAGTTAAGCTGGATTTTTCAGCAGGGGTAGTAGCTAATGAACAGATAGTGATTGCTCTTAAGAGATAACTAGTTACTAGGAGCATGTCTATGGTGCTGATTTGGATTAGCCAATTAACTTAAGCTGCATGTTTTTGGACGGTGGGAGGACCCCGGTGGAAACATACGTGGGCACGGAAAGACTGTGTAAACTCCGCACAGAAACATTGGCTGGCTTGGTAAGGACTAGAAGCAGTGATGTTCTTGCTGTGAGGCCACAGTGCTAACCACTGGGACACCGTGCCACCCATCATGGAAAGGAGGAGGAGTAAAAGGGGTGGAAGGGGGGATTCTTCAAAATGAAGATGGCTGTCATATGGAACTTGGGGTGTTTATAGTGGCTTAGGAATCATAAATTGGATAATGCAGGACCAACCGCAAGCAATCATAAGCACGTGATCCTCTCGACATTAGTTTATAAATAAACTTCACTTAGTCAGAGGATGTAGGGTTAACTAATGCTGTGTTCACACCAGACGGGGAACGCGCGGATAAATCGCGCTATTCGTGCGTAAATAGCCGCGTGAACATTTGAGTTTACTCGCATCAATCACACGTCAAACCCCACTTTATTCGCGTGTCAAATTCACTTCAGAACAGATGCGGATTCGCATGATGAGCAGGGCTTCTGTCTGCCCGAAGACTCTAGCTTCATAGCTAAAAGGCTAACATGGATTTTATGAAGAAAATAACAGTGTTTATGTGCTTTATGAAGACTGAAAAACAGCGTCGATACGTTTAGGGTCGTGTCTGAGTCCACTACACACTTTCAAAGGTGCATCCAGCTCTGTGAGCTCATAAACTCCTTCAGAAACTGAACCTGGATGACGGAGGCTTTCAGCGGTGCTTCTGACTGAGCCAAGCCGAGTTTGATGAACTGTTGTCGGTGAGGGCTGGAGGATTTCCCTCGGAACACCGACAACAGGTTCTACGTCACAATCACGCCCCCACAAGAGCAAGCTTATCATTGGTTAACGTGGCACGAATGTACGATGAAGTTCAGATTTTCGAACTCGAGAGATTCGCGCGAAACGATCGTTAAGTGCGCCAAACGCTCAATTCGCCCCGTGTCATTCGCACAATTTGCGTCATTCGCGCGTATCGCGCCGCAGGATGTCTATTCGCGCGTTTGCATTGACTTAACATGTAAATCACTCGCGCTTGACGCACGTTCCACGTCTGGTGTGAACGCAGCATAATACGTAAATAGTCTGGTTGCCTCCTGCTCATTCATACTAAAAGAGTAGTTAATTTAGTCATCTCCATACAACTATCAGTGATTTAATGTTAAAAAGGTCTTCATGCTGCCGTGCCACGCTGTTCAGTACAGTCAAATGCGCCTGAACAATCAAAAAATCTTTAAGTCTTCGTGCTGCAGGAATGAGGAGGTTTGCTAAAGCCGCAGCTGTGGTGCAGTGAGGAGTTTGCGTATTTAATAAATTACAACAGTTTGCGTTCATTGAACATTAGGAATGATTCATAAATCCATATGAAACAGTCCCTTAAAGTCACTTACTTTTAGGGTCTGAGTTTTGCACTCACACACAAGCATACCATGCCAAAGCCCAAGTGAACCCGTTTCAGTGCACTCTGAAACGACCCGGGAAACGGGCCTGGACACAGTTCGGATAGCATAGTGTGAGTAGAAAGTTTATTGTTTTAGTGACTGGTCATTCTTGTGGTCTCGCCTCAAGGATTTCCACAACAGTTCTCAGGGTTTTATATTATGGAGAGACTTAGTCATCTCTGCGTTTGCCTGGGTTTCCCCCACAGTCAAAAGACATGCGGTACAGGTGAACTGGGTAGGCTAAATTGTCTGTAGTGTATGAGTGTGTGTGTGAATGAGTGTTTGTGGATGTTTCCCAGAGATGGGTTGCGGCTAGAAGGGCATCTGCTGCTTAAAAGCGTGCTGGATAAGTTGGCGGTTTAATCCGCTGTGGCGACCCCAGATTAATAAAGCGACTAAGCCAACAAGAAAATGAATGAATGAATGTCTTTGGTGTGAATAAAATGTCTCAGTGCTGTTCTGTTTGAAAAGTATATTCTAAAATCTGTTGTTTGTGTGTTTGTTATTAAACAGAAGATCGAAAATCTGAGCAGCAGATTCATCTTTATCTGAAAGGCCTTAACAAACCTGTTGATGTGAGTATATATTTGTTTCGTTTTAGGCCTAACTTAAGAAGATTTGACAGTTTTTTCCCTGTATATATTCCCTTGTAAGTGAACTGTGCCTGAACCCTATCCAGCGCACTCAAACTTCTCAATCAATCTGGGAAACGGGCCTGGACACTGTTCGGATAGCATAGTGTGAGTAGGCCCTAAATCTCTGATGCAGAGCTCAGAGACTCCCACACTGCAACGGGGTATCCTGGCTACAATATGAATGACTTGAATACTCAAACAGCCATAAATTCAAGACAATAAAAGCTTCACAAAGACCCTTGCCTGGTAATAAGTTGATGTGTGAATAATTTCCTCTGGGTTGGGGTATCTGGCAAAGATCTTATCAAAGCCGAAACCCAGATCAATGCAAGTGAAATATTACAAGGAAATTGCGACCACTTTACCACTCACACAAAGACATTTAAGATGATACCAAACATGAGTATAGAGCTACAAGATGCACCATATTAAAAACCTCTACACTGGTGGAGAAAGTAAAGGGGGGCTCAAGGTGGGCGACTAAGACAGTTTAACATCTGGTTTTCATAGCTGATCTTTTCTCAGATCAGAATGTTTATTGTTTTAGTGCCTGGTCATTCTTGTGGTCTCGTCTCAAGGATTTCCACAACAGTTCTCAGGGTTTTATATTATGGAGAGACTTAGTCATCTCTGCGTTTGCCTGGGTTTCCCCCACAGTCAAAAGACATGCGGTACAGGTGAACTGGGTAGGCTAAATTGTCTGTAGTGTATGAGTGTGTGTGTTTGTGGATGTTTCCCAGAGATGGGTTGCGACTAGAAGGGCATCTGGTGCGTAAAAGCGTGCTGGATAAGTTGGCGGTTCATTCCGCTGTGGCGACCCCAGATTAATAAAGAGACTAAGCCGACAAGAAAATGAATGAATGAATGTCTTTGGTGTCAATAAAATGTCTCAGTGCTGTTCTGTTTGAAAAGTATATTCTGAAATCTGTTGTTTGTGTGTTTGTTATTAAACAGAAGATCGAAAATCTGAGCAGCAGATTCATCTTTATCTAAAAGGCCTTAACAAACCTGTTGATGTGAGTATATATTTGTTTCGTTTTAGGCCTAACTTAAGAAGATTTGACAGTTTTTTCCCTGTATATATTTCCCTGTAAGTGAACTGTGCCTGAACCCGATCCAGCGCACTCACACTTCTCAAACAATCTGGGAAACGGGCCTGGACACTGTTCGGATAGCATAGTGTTAGTAGGCCCTAAATCTCTGATGCAGAGCTCAGAGACTCACACACTGCAACGGGGTATCCTGGCTACAATATGAATGACTTAAATACTCAAACAGCCATAAATTCCCTTGACCCTTGCCTGGTAATAAGTTGATGTGTGAATCATTTCCTCTGGGGTGGGGCATCTGGCAAAGATCTTATCAAAGCCGAAACCCAGATCAATACAAGTGAAATATTACAGGGAAATTGCGACCACTTTACCACTCACACAGAGACATTTAAGATGATACCAAACATGAGTATAGAGCTACAAGATGCACCATATTAAAAACCTCTACACTGGTGGAGAAAGTAAAGGGGGGCTCAAGGTGGGCGACTAAGACAGTTCAACATCTGGTTTTCATAGCTGATCTTTTCTCAGATCAGAATGTTTATTGTTTTAGTGCCTGGTCATTCTTGTGGTCTCGCCTCAAGGATTTCCACAACAGTTCTCAGGGTTTTATATTATGGAGAGACTTAGTCATCTCTCCGTTTGCCTGGGTTTCCTTCGGGTGCTCCGGTTTCCCCCACAGTCAAAAGACATGCGTTACAGGTGAACTGGGTAGGCTAAATTGTCTGTAGTGTATGAGTGTGTGTGTTTGTGGATGTTTCCCAGAGATGGGTTGCGGCTAGAAGGGCATCTGCTGCATAATAGCATGCTGGATAAGTTGGCGGTTTATTCAGCTGTGGCGACCCCAGATTAATAAAGAGACTAAGCCGACAAGAAAATGAATGAATGAATGTCTTTGGTGTCAATAAAATGTCTCAGTGCTGTTCTGTTTGAAAAGTATATTCTAAAATCTGTTGTTTGTGTGTTTGTTATTAAACAGAAGATCGAAAATCTGAGCAGCAGATTCATCTTTATCTGAAAGGCCTTAACAAACCTGTTGATGTGAGTATATATTTGTTTCTGTTTAAGTCCTTACTTAAGAAGATGTGAGTTTTTTCCCTGTATATATAGTATTTTCTAAATAATTTGTATTGAATAGTGAATTCCAAGGAGTTTAGATTCGACAAACATTTAACAAGTAATTTGTGAGAATATTTTAGGCTTTAACTTGACATTGGGATTAGGATTGGGTGATGTCGACCAATTTGGCATCGTACAATGTCTAACATAAACATCACGATGGACAATGGCATTGTCGTCGTAGGTGGCAGTGAATAACTTATTTATAAACAATTAATTAATTCATAAGAAATTAATTACCATTAGCCATTATTAATATTAATTAGCCTACCATTTCAACTACCTGACTCGCATGCTCTTTGTTTTACCAAATTATAAATAAATAAAGGTAAGGTACACACAAATTACCACCTGTCAATCATTTTTTGCGCATGAATAAGCAAAGTGATTTGTGTCGTTATAATGGCGTCAACAAACTTGGTTGGTAAAAAAGGTTCACAAACAACAGGAACCAATCAATAGTATCTGAGGTTTTGGCTAAAATTACAAGTCAAGTCAGGTCAAAGTTTATTTATGAAGCGCTTTTTAAAAACAACAAGTGCTTACCAAAGTGCTGTACACACATACACCATTTAAAACAAAGGACAAATACAACAGACACGTGACTCTCATATGGTATTAAAAGCCAAAGAGTAAAAATGGGTTTAAAGACTAGACTTAAAAACAGAAAGGGGGGCCGAACTTGAAAATTACTTGAAAAACTTTTGGAAAATTATTCCAAAGTTTGGGGGCCGCCACTGCAAAGGCAAGGTCCCACCTGGTTTTTAACCTTGCGCGTGGAACAGCCAAAAGTAGATGATTAGCACATCAAAGTGCCCTTGATGGAGAGTACAGTTGGAATAATGATGACAAGTATCTTGGTGCTAGTCCATTTAGGCCTTTAAACACCCAAACCAAAACCTTAAAATGTATCCTTAACTGTACAGGAAGCCAATGAAGAGAAGCCAGTATGGGTGTAATGTGTCTCGCTTGCGTGTCCCTGTCAGCAAATGAGCAGCAGCATTCTGCACCCTTTGCAGATGAGTAATGGAGCTATGACTAATACCCACACAGAGGGCATTACAATAACCTAGCCATAAAAATATGTATAACCCGTTCAAAGTCATAAAAAGACAAAAAAGACTTTAATTTGGATAATTGCCTCAATTGGAAAAAAATAGCTTTAATTACCGAATTAATCTGTTTATCCAGTTTGAAGTCACTATCGATAAGAACACCCAGGTGTTTTACATTAAATTTCACGAAAGGATTTAACACACCAAGATCCAGACAATCCTGAGTTCCCCCGGACCCAAATACCACCACTTTTGTCTTTTCTTCATTGCACATTATAAAATTAGTGCCAACCAAGATTTAATGTCTTTAAGACAGTTCAACAATGGTGTTATGGACCCAGCATCTTTCCTATTAAAGGGCAAATAAAGCTGTGGGTCATCTGCATAAAGATGAAATGAAAGCCCATGCTTTCAACAAATGGACCCTTACGGAAGCAGAAATAAGGAAAACTGAATGGGTTCAAGAATGGAACCTTGGGTTACTCCACATGAAAGAGGTGCTGACGAGGACATAAACTCGCCTAGGCGAACAGAGAAGCTTCTGTCAGATAAATATGACCGAAACCATTCCAAGGCAAGAACCTACATACCAACACAGTGCTCTAAACAAGAAACTTATAGCGTATGGTCTACTGTATCAAAAGCAGCTGTAAGATCTAAGAGCAAAAGAACAGTGCAATGTCCTGTGTCAGTGGCTACTAAGTATACTAAGTACTAAGTATAAGCATGAAAGTAAAAGATTGAAGCAGTGTATGGACGCTGTGACACGTTACCTTATAGATTCAAAAGACTGAAGAGTCGGTAGATTGAGACAAGATTAATTGAATATCACATATACAACTATAGTGAGACACGATCCAGCGGTACATCCTTATGTGTGTGGTCACGTGACGGGGGCGGAGTGGAGAATAGCGATGCCTGCTCAGCATCGTGATGTCTATCGGCAATGTACGATGGCATCGTCTGTTGACACAACCCGGACGTCCCAAGTGTCCCGGAGGTTCCGGGAGTCTCCCGCAAATGCATAGAGACTCCCGGATGCCCGCAAATGAATGATAACCTCCCAGAAATCACGCGTCTTCCGCCCAGTCCTTTGATACAACGCACACCCCTCTCCACCGCATTCCTCCCAGCTCTTCAGGTACATCGGGCACAACTCACCCCCATCGCTCTTTAGGTACATCGCATACAACTCACCCCCATCACTCTTCAAGTACGTCGCGCGCAACTCACCCCCATCGCTCTTGAGGTACATCGTGCACAACTCACCCCCATCGCTCTTCAGGTTTGTCGCGCACAACTTACCCCCATCGCTCTCTAGGTATGTCGCTCTCAACTCACCCCCATCGCTCTTTAGGTACATCGTGCACAACTTACCCCCATCGCTCTTTAGGTACATTGTGCACAACTCACCCCCATCGCTCTTTAGGTACATCGCGCGCAACTCACCCCCATCGCTCTTTAGGTACATCGTGCACAACTCACCCCCATCGCTCTTTAGGTACATCGTGCACAACTCACCCCCATCGCTCTTTAGGTACATCGTGCACAACTCACCCCCATCGCTCTTTAGGTATGTCGTGCACAACTCACCCCCATCGCTCTTCAGGTTTGTCGCGCACAACTCACCCCCATCGCTCTTTAGGTATGTCGCGCGCAACTCACCCCCATCGCTCTTTAGGTACATCGTGCACAACTCACCCCCATCGCTCTTTGGGTACATCGTGCACAACTCACCCCCATCGCTCTTCAAGTACGTCGCGCACAACTCACCCCCATCGCTCTTTAGGTACGTCGTGCGCAACTCACCCCCATCGCTCTTTAGGTACATCGTGCGCAACTCATCCCCATCGCTCTTTAGGTACATCGTGCACAACTCACCCCCATCTCTCTTTAGGTACATCGTGCGCAACTCACCCCCATCGCTCTTCAGGTACGTCGCGCACAACTCACCCCTTAATTTAGTCATATCTGTAGTGAATACTAAACTACACACACCAGCATCACATCAGCAATTATGTGGTTGCCTCACCCATAAAGTTGATTTGATTTAATTTGAACACATTTACTTAAAAGGGATATGATCTGGTTATGTATGTATGTGCTATTCACCTCAGGGTTAAATGAGGCTAAATAAAAGTTATTACAGCATGTTGTCTTATTCACTTCATTCTCCTTTTGACAGAAAGAATGGAGCGTATGAACATCTCTCTCGTTTTGCTCCTCGTCTTCTGCTCATCGAGTGCTGGGAAAACCTTCTGGACTTATCTAGGAACACGCTGTGTTGAAGACTGCAAGGTCTACTGGGGCGAGTACAAGTGCAAGACTATTGATAAAGATGGACAGTCCCAGCTAATGTACTGTTCACCTAAAGAAAACACGGACTATTGGGGCAGGCAGTGCGAAGGGTGCGAGAAGCATGGATATGACTACTATTGGTGCAATGTTGGTTTATTTCAGTGGGGATATTGTGGATTGGTAAGTATTGACAACAAACATCAGGGGTCTCAAACAGGCGCCCTCTGTTCCAGTGAGTGTAGACAAAGTAGTAAAGGCTACTATTATTGTGTGGTCGAAGATGAGTTGGAATTCTGTTCACCTAATGAAAACACAGATTACAAGAACAGACAGTGTAAAGAAGACAGCCCATGTGGAAAGCACAATAATGACTACAAGTGGTGTGCAGTGGAGGGTGGCTGGGGTTACTGTGGGCTCACGGAGCCAAAGATGTTCCACCACCGGACTCATAAAAATGATGTTTGCATTAACGAATGTCGGTATTCTAAGAAGAACAATTATTACTGGTGCGACACTGTCAATAGCTGGGAATTCTGCTCTCCAGAGGTGGGTGTAACTGTTAGAGGCATACCCTGTCACGCAGATCACCCCTGTGGCTTACATGGCAAAAGTTACCACTGGTGCTGGAACTCAGAGAACAAACGTGATTACTGTGGGTTCATTGAACCTGCAGAGTGCTCCTACGTCACTGATACACATCTCAGCAGCAGAACCCCTGAAAACAACCTCAAGGACATTGTGACATGCAAAACGTCAAAGAGGGTGACAACCACTATTTCTGCTGAGCCAGCTTCTAGGGACATTGCTGATGGACGTCGGTTTAGACAAGAGGTGGAATCCTTAATCAATCAATGGCACAATGGGTATCTGGTGGATGAGGCCCGGTCTAATCTGATACACTCTCCCATTGTTCGTATTGATTTAAAGAGTCCCGTAAACCTCAACAATCGACGATACTACAACCTACAGGTCCTGCTGAATACGTCACGGAAGGCTTACGCAGGCACCATCATTTCCCAGGTCCTTGTGCCTCGGGGAGCCCCAGCCCGTTACATTCGCAAAGCCTTTCTGGAGAGCCTCAAGTTGCGAGCTCGGGTTCATATTGATGTTTACAAAAATCAGGTTTAGATCCATGAGGTTGACCTTCAGCTTTAATGTTCTCTGCTGATGGAATGCCTAACTGTTCTTAAGTAATGTAAAAGTATGTTTTAGGCATACTTGATGTGTTAACAGCAATGTACTAATAGTATACTTGAAAGTGTTGAGACTAAATTGGCTCATTTTTAGTAATAAAAGAATGTTTTCAGTGTACTATAAGTGTAACAGTAGTAGTAGTAGTAGCAACTAGTCTACAATGACATTTTTCATTTGTACTTCCAGTGAACTCATGAGCATACTAGTGGTATACTTCTGTAATAACTGTGAATAAAGTATTTGAGCAAATAACTAGTTTGTCCTATGCTGAGAATTTGGCCATTGCATTTAACCTATACAACTGTACACACAGTAAAGGCTGATTTATACTTCTGCTTCAAGCCCATGCATATGCCCCTGCGCAGCCTTCACACGGTCGCATACCCCTCGTCGTGGCCACCACCGACGCACACCTGAGGTGGGAGCCGACGGATATGCAATAACTTTAATTATGAGGTAAACATAAAACAACTTTTTCTATCTGGAGCTCCTTCATGGGACATGACACTTGTAAAAAGTCACTCCAATGGGTTCGTGTGGCTCTTACCCACGCCCACACTCATCAGTGCTATAAAGCCGACCAATCACAGAGCTTGGGCTATGCGTCATTGAGACATGTGGTTACATTTTTTGAGAGGTCGCCTCATTTTTTGAGGCGTCAGCATGCGCATGACGTAGAAGTATAAATCAGCCTTAAAGGACACACACACACACCCTCAACAATTTCTGGCATTGCAGGGATTCAAACCTGCAACCTTTGGACTATAAAGCTGACTCCTTCCACACTAAGTGCCCTTGTGAAAAATATACGTTGTTGTATAGCAAATTTATTTTATTTTCAATTGTGCATTGCAAGTATGCAAGTTGCAAAAATTCTACTAAATTAAAAATATAAAAAATGTGTACTGCTTTTATATATTTTTGACTATACAAAGTTTTAAAGGGCACATATTTCACTTCTTTCACTTCAAAATTTAATATAAGTTTTTTTTGTCTCCAGAATGTGTCGGTAAAGTTTCAGCTCAAAACACCCATCTGATTATTTAATATAGCTTTCAAAATATTGTATTTTCTGCTCTGAGAACACTGTAGCTGTTTTTGCGGCCTGTGCCTTTAATGGTAGTTCTCCCCGCCCACCGTTCCCATGTGCCTGTCAGAGTGTGCCTCAATCTCCATTCCATCTCGGCTGCATCAGATAAACAGCACAGTGACAGACATGAAGTAAGTAGATCTCATGTAACGTTCGTTCTGAGAAATACTACAGTAAGAGCTTTCCCAATGATTATTTGATGTATTTGTTGTGGAGGTGCAACGATGAGTCAAACACGATGTTGTTACAAAGTTCACACATGCACATACAGTGCGCGCATTTAATTTTTCAGTTTTTGCACGACAAATGTGACAGGATACACATTAAAATCGGCTGCTGTATGGATATCTGTTATGTTAATGTACAAAATAAACCTGATTTAACGTCCACAAAATGGTATTAAATTATAATTTATGATGATTGATGATCACAGAGCGCTGAACAGATCTTTTAATCCCAGTTGCTTTGAGCATGTCCTGTCTTGGTAATATGATTATAAACGTTACTGCTGAGACATGTTAATACGCGGCTGTCAATCAAGTCGGTGGGCGGGGAAACCGCACCCCTATGTTGTAGTCGGCCTCTAAATGAAAGGGGTTTGTATCCTATTTTAACATCAGGAAATAAAAAAGAGACTTATTATGTTTCTATCACTCCAATATGACTGTAGACAAACAGCATAGAATCACCAAGTGGCGACATTTTATTTGAGAAACAGCCTCTAGGTGCCGCTAGTGTCACGTGGCAGCCATTTTGGAATGAAAATTCCAATAGATTAACAGCATGGATAACTAACGTTAGACAGAATTAATTAAAATATTGAGTTAAATATGAGTTAAACTATTATATTTTCATACACCTCCATGAAAAAGCAACATCTCAAAATGAAATGAAAAACAATTTCCAAAATGTTGACAAGACTGAGTTTAATATATCTGTTTAACTTATGAGACGAAAGTAAGGTTAACAAAATAACTTAAATTAATATTATTTTTTGTATAGTATTACTTAAATTAGGGTGATGCGACTGGGTGCTGTCACCTCACAGCAAGAAGGTCACTGCACTGTTAGACATTTCTGTAAATTACACAGTTATTTACTGTATTTCACCCAGTGTAATACTGCAAATTCCTTTTACGGTAAATAACTGTATTTACCGTTGCATTGTGGGAATTTAGTGTGACGTCGAACAACATATACAGCGATGTACTGTATTTGTAAAAATTCGTGTATTATACTGTATTTTCCACAACTGCTTCAACGCCACCTTGCGGCGATTCGACTACTCTGCACCACATTTTGCCTGAGGACCCTGGAGCAATTCTGGAGGACAATTTATTAGTGTGCCTGAAGAACATACTGGATTTAACAAACTTTACTCTGGTAAGCTGAGGCAGTGTTTCATTTTACAGAATGTTTTGTGGACGAGAATAGAACAAAGTAAAGTATAAAGTTGGCTATTATTATTTTCTCTGGCTTGGCGTTATTTCGCCCATTTGAGAAATATATCATCTATTAAGATGTTACCTTTATTTAATTTATTACATTAACACTACTATTACTTTAAATAAGACTGTTTATGACTATTAGCCATTGTTCTCGTCATATCTTTTTATTTATTTAAATAGGAACCGGTGTTGCAGCGGGTTTTGGTTTAGGAGGGAACCAGAGGTATGCAGACAGTTTTGGAGGACACTTAGTACGAGACAACGGTCCGGCAGAGAGTGTTTTCCCCCAGAAGAATATGAATGAAAGACCAACAAATAATCCAGGTAAAAGCGCGTTTGTCTGTGCTGACAACACTCGACATTGATTTGAGCACCTCTATTAGCATTTGTTTGCTCGGCAACATTGGCTGAAGCGATCTTAAAATGGTAATGTTAACTGTTAGCTAAACTGAGCTAAGTTTATACTGAATTGGACTCAAACTCATTTTAACGTGCAACGTTTAACTTATATTGATTTATACTATATATATTAGATGTTGTGAACTTATTTTTCTCTGGTTTAGAGTAACTTATAACGTTAGCTTGAGAAAATAACATCGCGACGTAACCTATAAGAACGTTAACGTAAATCTACAATATGCATAGAGGTAAAGTTGGTTTTATATTCGCACATTCGTTCATTTAGAAGACTCTATACTGTTTACCATGTTACTTTGAATATTCGATCAGAATTAGCATGCCAGTATGACTTGAAATCAACATTAACACTGTTTATTTGACCGTGAGCATGTTGTACTTTGATAGTCATTGCTGCTAAAATGATTTCGCTATTTAGAGTTTGCAAATAATACTTTTATGAAATTAAATTATTAAGGGGGAAGTCTGAATCTGCTAATATAAAACCAATTTTACCTCTATGCATTATGCTAATAACCACCTTTTTGCTATTTATTGTTTGCTAATTATTTTTTTATCACAACTCTTGACATTTGGTTTAACATAATTGTTACCATTATATTTTTTTCTGTTTAGATATGGCACGAGCACAGCAGCAGGTTTTGTCTGAAGAAACAAACAGCATTTCAGAGGAACATCTTGATCAGCACAGCCTTATGCTTAAAAAATAAGCAAGACCAGTAAGCAACCAAGGTAAACAAATAAAAAAAAGTTGTGTGGAGGTTGTGGATTGTAGCATGGTATTCTTATCTGTATTTTTGGCTTTTTTATGGTCTCAATATAGAATACTGGGAGCCTGCCTGTGCAAACTGGACCTCATACAACAGTAAGTACTGTACATCTATTTGTTTCTCAATATATTAACGTTACTTTTAATACAAAATGTGTCACATGTTTAGTTGCTAGCTAAATAAAAAAATCGTTTTCCCTTTTTTATTAAACCATTTAGTAGGTTTTTTTTTCATCTTTGTTTATAATATTTTTGAGCAGATTGAGGTCTGTCATGGGTCAGACATTTCAAAATACAATAATTAGTATTGGGATACATGCATTTGTCTATGTATTAAATGTCTTTTTCCCCATTTCATGTTGCCTAAATATTTTGTAATAAATAAAATAATAAAATTTTTTGTATAAATAATTCCAGAGGATGAAACAAAATGCACAGCAACAACCAAAGTGAGCCAGAAGATAGCAGGAGAAGTAGTGAAGAGAATGACAACCATGAACAACAGTGAGTTATCCTTCTTTCACCAGCTAACTGACAACTTGGATTAGGTGAGACACTCTCAATAGTTTTATCAGTATTCAGTCAGTTTTAGTTTATTAGGAATACATAAAACAAATAGTCTAATCTGTCCTGCAGTGAATCAACCCATCACAAATGCTACAATGTTTTTGTAAAACCTTGTTAGGGAAAAAAATAAACAGGACATTCTGGTTAGTTATCTTTTAAACATGGTAGTGAGCAGGTTATGAGCAGGAGCCAGTTGCTCAGTACCAGCTGAAAACTACCCCAACCTAGCTGCCATGCTTCAAAATAATTAACCAGTATATGATTTATTTTTTTTAAACAAGCTTCTTCTATGCTTATGTTAGTCTGTTTGTCCTTATCCAGAGTTCTTCATAATCCTGGACTGGGCCAAATCCTGACCAGATGCTGTGGTGGTCATGGAGGAGTGAATCCTAAAAGACACACGTGATCAATGAGTTTCCGCATTGATCCAATGGGCCAGCCTGACCACCCGCTGGTGAACTTTCAAGCCTCTGGTGCCTAGACTGCGGCCTTGCACAAGTTTGGCTAGAGGAGAACTGGTCGTGCCCAACTGAGCCTGGTATCTCTCAAGGGATTTTATTCTACACTTTCGTCAGTTGGTGAAGTTTTCTCCATGCCACTGTCGCCACTGGATCACTTGGCTACGATTGGTGGATCGGTGGATTTGCTCTTCAGTGTTTGGACTTTCAGCAGTGACATTTACTGCTTCAATTCTGAAAACTGGACTGAAGCAGCTTCAATTTACAAGAACTTCTATGTTAAGCTGCTTTGACATCATTGATCTACATTGTAAAAGTGCAATAGAAATAAAGATGAATTGCATTTGAACATGTGAATTCAGACCTTGTTGAGCATTTGACACCAGAATTAGTAATATTTTAAAGTTGGGTTTTTTCTGAGTCGGCTAATAGTTACAAATATTTATTTTTCCAACAATATGCAATTCAGAAGTTTAAATTTTTATTGTACATGTATGTTCTAGTGCTTTGTGTGATTTATTTATTTTTAATGTGTTGATTTTATTGCTTAATGTAATTTTCACACATTTTCCTTAAATGCTTTAAGCATTATTAATGTTTTAAAGAATGGAATATTTTGTAATTGTGTCTGGTTTAATGTCAGTAGTACTTAGTATAATTGGGTTTTTTTTTCTCAACAATATGCAGGTCAGACACTTAAATTAGTTTTGTACATGTATGTTAATGTGCTTTGTCATTTTCAATGTTTTTTTTTCTTAAAATAAAATATTTTGAATGATTGAAATGTAATGTTTTTACACATTTTTAAGCTTGTTTTAAGCATCTCCAATGTTTTAAATAAAGAGTGTTTATTTTGTTAATATTTTGTAATTGTGTCTTTTTTAGGTCTATAGTATTAAAATAATATTAATAAAATTATATTATAAAATATTTAGGACAAAATTAAAAGGTTTACAGTAGCTAACTGTTAACTTAGGTTTTTACAGTAGTTAACCATTTTCAGACACTACGGTAACATACTGTAAACGGATTTACAGTTGTATACTGTAAATCTAAAATACAGTAACTTACTGGCAACAGTGTTGCCAGTAAGTTACTGTAAAAACCCTTTGAAATGTCTAACAGTGTGGTTCGAGCCGCAGCTGGGCCAGTTGGCATTTCTTTGCACGTTCTCCCTGCATTCGCGTGGGTTTTCTCCGGGTGCTCCGGTTTCCCCCACAGTCCAAAGACATGCGGTGCAGGTGAATTGGGTAGGCTAAATTGTCCGTAGTGTATATGTGAATAGATGTTTCACAGAGATGGGTTTTGGCTGGAAGGGCATCCGCTGCGTAAAACATATGCAGGATAAGTTGGCTGTTCATTCCGCTGTGGTGACCCCAGATTAATAAAGGGACTAAGCCGAATATGAAATGAATGAATGAATGAATGAATAAATTTGGGTGATGCAAAAATGAGTCTACCCCACATCAAAAACTACTTATTATAGTTTGTATGGCTTCTGTGATTTTTAATGACAGCACCAAGACTTTATTCTTTAAAAAAATAAAAAACAACTTTTACAGTTGCGCTAAGAGATGCTCAGCTCAATGTCTCTTCAGAATTCCCCATATGTGTTCAGTTGGATTCAGATCAGGAGACATACTTATTATAAAATATAATATGTTATCGTGTGTGTGTGTGTGTATGTGTTTTTGTGACATATCAGGACACAAATCTGTATAATGACATGGGTATGACACAGGTGTTACAAAAAGGAGGTGAAATATGAGGACATTGGTGACGGTTGATTTCTCAAAATGCATATAAATCCTACAGGATGAATTTAATCAGAGAGTAAAGCTGCACACAGTCTCCTGTGATGGTTGGGTTTAGGGGTGGGGTCGGGTGAGGGCAATATAATATACGGTTTGGGCAGTATAAAATGAATAGAAACCTATGTAATGTCCCCACTTTTCACAAAAACAAACGTGTGTGTGTTTGTATATATATATATATATATATGTGTGTGTGTGTGTGTGTGTGTGTGTATATATATATATATATATATATATATATATATATATATATGTGTGTGTGTGTGTGTGTGTATGTGTATATATGTGTTATATATATATATTTATTTTTATTTTTATTTTTTTTAAATTTTTTTCTGTAGCATCCAGCCCTAGCTGCCATTTACATTCTTCATAATATCTTCTTTTAGGTTCAACAGAAGAGAAAGTCTGAAATGGCCTGTTTTCACTGAGTGATACGGTACGGTGCGGTTCGATTTGGTAGGCTTTTATGGCCGTTTCCACTGTCAAAAGGCGTATCGAACCATACCACTTTTTTGGCACCCTTTTGAAAGGGTGCCAAAGACGAGAAAGGGTACTAAAAGGCGGAGCTAGACGCGCAGCTAAACGCTATTGGTTTACAGAATTACGTAATTCGCTTGCTCAACAAGCCAGAATGAAAACAAAAGAGCCGCCATGTTTAAAATACACAGCCGAGAGATTATTTACAACGTAAATATATATACATATAATAACGAGCCATGGTCAACCCAGGCCCAAACAAACCTTGTCGTCGTCTTGATGAACAGCTACAAAGCCAAAAAGAAGAGCAGATTTACCCTGTGCCCTGTAGTTTTTTACGAGCCAGTCTGAAGCGCGAGCGGTTTCGCTTTCTTGCTTGCGCTTGCCTATTTGTGTATAAAGCATCTGTTTTTTGAGAAGTGCTTCTCACAGCAGATGCCCTTCTAGCTGCAACCTATCACTAGGAAACATTCACACATATAAACTACAGACAATTTAGCTTACCCAATTCACCTAAAGCGCATGTCTTTGCACCCAGAGGAGACCCACGCGAACATGGCGAGAACACGCAACTCCACACAGAAATGCCCATTGCCCCAGCTGGGACTTGAACCTGCGACCTTCAAGCTGTATGTTGATTGTTCTACCCACTATGCCACCGTGCTGCCCTCAAATCTGAAGCTTATCTAACAAAATAACTTTAAAAAACTAGAACACGCAAATTTATATTATAAAAAAAATATTAAATAAAATTTTTTTAAAAAAAAAGGAAGAATAAAGAGAAACAAAAAAAGGGGAAATTTTTGTTGAAATTTTGTTGTTTTTAATTTATTTTTGCAATATTTTAATTTAATAGTATTATCTTTCAATTTCAAAATGTTTGGTGACTAAAATATTACATTAATAAATAAATCTGTTCAATAAATCTTTTGCTTAAATGCACCAAAATACACTGCCTGCTGTACTCACTGAGAAATGGAGAAACAAACTCGTGTTTAAAAATTTGCTGTACTCAATTGTGCTGAGCACTGTACCTCTTTTTGGTGTTTCACGCTTGTCCAGTCTGCCTCACATTTGTCCAGCCCCCTGATCCTCCAACGATTTTCCTTGAGATCATGTGATTTGCTAGAAACAGAGAGCTGACGTCTGATGTTTTGGAAACAACCAGATCTTTTCTGATTGGTTAACACACATCTTGCTGAACGCCAGTACAGTACAAGACTAAAGGACTAGGCTGCAGCGAACATTTCCAAGAAAACAAGACACCCACGACATCTTTAATATCCACCAGGAAACTCCATTTGCTGTCTGGATTCAAGATATCCTCAGGTTTGACTTTTACGTTTATGTTGTAAGTTCAGTTTGATTAAACCTAAGCAACAGTTTTATGGACAGTGTGGAAATCCAACACAATCTCACGGCAATTTGTAACTTTTTGATTTAGTGGCTAATTTGTAAAAGTGGCAGATATGAAGAGATTTAACAAATTGATTAGGAAAGCTGGCGCTGTGGTGGGTGAGGAATTGGACAATATGGAGACTGTGGCCGAAAAGAGAACATTGTGCAGACTTCGGTCAATTATGCACAATGTAGATCATCCTCTTTATAATGTGGTTGACGAGCTGAGAAGTACCTTTAGTCACAGACTTACCAGCTTAAAGTGTTCCACTGAACGCCACAGAAAATCCTTCCTTCCCACTGCTATCAGACTTCATAACGTCTCCCTCAGTCACTTACCCTCACAGTAATTTATGCAATATCTTGCTGCTCGTGCCATATATTAATTAATTATTACGGGTTTTAATGCGTGGAAGTCTGTGCATTATGTTCTATGATGTGCAATAGTCTATTAGGTGCAATATTTGTACGTTTTTTTACTGGGTCTTAAATATTTTTAGTGCAATATCTTTGTTTTTTAAATGAGTGCTGAATGACTTTACTACTTGAATTATTGTATGTGTAATTGTTTTATGTGTAATATTAGTTTTGGTTAATATTATTTTCATTACTTGATATATGACTTATTAGTATTAGTTACCACTGATTCTTTTAAGTGTAATATCTTATATAATAGTTTGTATACTTATGTATTGTGGCTGTTTCCTTTTATAGATTGGTTGGATTTATGTGACTTATTTCACTTATTTAATTTATTTATTTTGTCTTGTGGTTTTGTGTTTCTGTGTTCTGTGTGTTATGGCAGTCATTACATAAGCAATTTCCTGCGGGATAAATAAAGTTTTCTAAGTCTAAGTCTAAGTCTAATTTGTACAAATTCGTACGATCTAATTCGTACATTTTAGTACGATTTGCGTATCCCCCAATGACGGTTGGGTTTAGGGGTGGGGTTAGGTGCCACGCCTCCTTTTTAAAATTGTACATTTTCTTAAGACTGAACTCATACGAATTAGCCACTAAACTGCCAAAACGTAAAATACTTACGTTTTCTCATGAGATCAGGCTGGGAAATCTTGGTTTTATCAGAAGCATTAGAGCAGAGGTTTGATTAGTCAGAATACACATTTTATGTTAATGCACTGCAAAAAAAAAAAAATGCTTTTCTTACCAAGATTTTTTTTGTCTTGTTTCTAGTCCAAATATCTAAAAGTTCTTAAATCAAGAAGCATTTTCTAGACAAGCAAAACATATTGTCTTGTTTTAAGAAATAATATGCCAAAATGAAGTGAGATTTTAAGCTCTTAATAAGCTTTTTGAACCTCTGAGACTCAGTAATCTCTGCACACTGGTGTCAAATCAGTATGAAACGCATAGCCTTCATACATTTTAAGAGCTGGGTGTAGAGCAAATGCAAGTATGTGCACATAACAGTAACATGTCTTTGGTGTCAATAAAATGTCTCAGCGTTGTTCTGTTTGGAAATACTAAAGTGTTCTGTGCCTGTGTGTGTGTGTGTGTGTGTGTTATAGAACAGTAGATCTGAAATCTGAGCAGCAGATGTTCCCGTTTATCTGAAAGGTCTTTACAAACCTGTTGATGTGAGTATATATTTGTTTCTGTTTAAGCCCTTAACTAAGATGATTTTATCAGTTTTCTTGTCAAGACATTTAAAAAATGTCATTGCTTTCGTCAGGCAGGGGAGGAGATCTTTGGCTTTGGCTTTGGATTGCTTCATTCCTTAACTGAGGGTGCTTTCACACCTGTGAATCGATTCAGTTGTTCCGAAACAGAGATTACAATTGTTACATTGTTGCTCTTGGAGCGGTTCGCTTTCACACTGCAAAGTTTCTAATCGGACCAAAAGAGCTAAAACAAGTCACGTGCGAGTAAACTCTCCTCACATTAGTCAGTGTGTCAGGGTTTTTTTTGCAGCATCCCGCTAAGCTGTCAGGAGAGGTGGTGGTTTGGTAGTGATTGACAGGGTGCGCGAGCGCGCGACGTGTCTGAGGAGAGACGTGGTGGGGAGAAGGGTGCGCGACGATGCCTATTTAAGGACTGGGAGGGAGACACGAGATTACCGGGAGATCATCATTCGTTTGCGGGCATCCGGAGACTCGCGAAACTTCCCGCCCTACTCATAATTCTCTCTTCAAATAGTTGTAAGCCTATTACATATCTATAAAACACTGTGATATAACCGCGCTCAGATCGGATCGCTTTCTCACTGCAATCGAACCGCTCCAGGGTTCGTTTGAATCGAGCCGAGACCACCTCATTCAAGCGATCTCGGAGCGATTACTTTGGAGCGGAACAGAGCGCGATTGCCCTGTTCACATATGCCAAACGAACCGCGCTAACTGGGCAAATAAGACACGTTCCCAAACAAAAGTGTAGGTGTGAAACTCACCCTGAGTTTCTTGCTCTTTTACAGCAACATGAGTTCAAACAACCAGCAACGATCTGGTGGAAACGGTAAAACCACTCTTGAGAAGCATGGAAATGACCCACCTGATGTCACTTTAGAAGAAATAGCAGAGGATTTGCTTTCTTATATTGGAGGATCTCCTCACCTAAAGAAGACAGAGAAACAGATTGAAAGGAAATACAGCATTGAAAAGAAGGATGGTGATTACTGGTCAGCCGATGACATCAAGAAAGCTTGGGGGAAAACACAGAGGATGAGAAAAACTGATTTAAAACGAAAACGCTGGGCTCTTGCACTATTGTTCCAGCTAATAAATCGAAAGGCAGTCAAAACAACGACACAGTGCGATGATGACAACACTGGAAATGTATCCCAGCCGATTGTGGGAAACACACCTGACCAAACGAAAGCTGAAGGAGAGAGCGTAAGAGACAAAGCATCAGCCTTAAAACTTCTAAATTCCAATGAAAAAGAAAACCAAGCACAGAAAGAAGAAGGCTCAACAAAACAGACTGTCTACATACGCATCCCATTATCGGACATGGTTAGCAATGAGTCTACCTCTGGAGGGAAAGATGAGGAAAAAGGAAAAACAGGAAACAAACCAACATATAAATTAATTGACAGATATCCTAAACTTCCTCAAATACAGAAAAAAAAATCGTACATTATATTTTACAACCCTAAAACCAGGAATGCTATGTGCACGTATGAGATATTAAACAGAGATACATTATCTAAACACATAAACCCATCAAATGAAAAAAATAATGAAAACAATCAAGCTAAGACAGAACTTAAAGAAAATACTGACAGCAAGCGAGAATCCGATCAAAGAGACTTGAACCAAATGACTCGAGGTCATCTCGCTACAGCTGCCAATCACAGGTGGTGTCGGGAAGCCTATCAGGATGTCAATATTGACAACAACATGGCACCACAGCATTTAGCCCTAAACAATGGCATCTGGAAAGCGCTTGAGAATAACTGTCAGACTATATTCGAAGACGAAAATAATAACATCCGCAATGTCCATGTGTACACTGGACCACTTTACAATTATAAGGAAACAAAAAAGAGCTCAGAAAAACCAAGATTTTGGCACGACAAAGAAGTGCCGACTCACTTCTTCAAGGTGATAATAAAGGAGCATGAAGAGGGGACTGTAAACATGGAGTGCTATAAGATGCCTAATACAGATAATCCAAAAGACACGGATTTGAATAAATACGAAGTGCAAATAAAACAAATTGAGAACGAATCTGGGTTGAAGTTTACAGAAAACGGCTGTCCTGAGGGAGAGATAGACAGTACTAGAACTGTGAAATGGGAGGGTAGAGATGCAAAGGGAAACGAGTGTTCTGCTAAGATAACAGTAGGAATAAGCACACCACTTGCTGATCATAATCAATTTGCCTACATCTGAGCATGTACAGTTCTTTACTGCATTACCCGTGATTAGTGGTGGAAAGAGTACTGAGAAATCATACTCAAGTACCATTACTTGCCTAAAAATGTAGTGAGTACAGTAAAAGCATCTGTTGTAAATATTACTCAGAGTATCAGTAAAAAGTAGCTCTTTTAAAAGTACTTATGAGTAGTGAGTAGTGAGTATTACGCTGTAAAAAGCTGATGCATTTACATGTAACTTGTGGATGTGTGTAAACGTAACCGTACGTTCACACCGAAAGCGGCGAGAGCGTCCAAGGTCGCTCTGGCCGCCCTGGTGACAACGCTGTCTGCCTTCAGCTCCGGCGGCGAGAGCGTCAAAACTCGCTACATTGATCTCGTACTTAAAGGAGCCGTTGCAGCATATCAGTTACATTCCTGCATAAGGCATGTTTTTAGCGTGAAAATGTTGCGCACTTTTTATTAAATTTATGTAACAATGGAAGATCAAGTTGCATGTGGTGTGGCTTTGCTCTATTTATCCAATATGTGTCCATATGTCTGAAATATCCTGAAGCAGCAGTACTGTTTTGTACTGTCACATCGCGTGAGATTGCCGCTTTTTAAAGATAAATTTATATAACATTAATGAACATCAGTAACTCGCCAGTAACTTATTTAATGTATGTTCCTGTAAGAAAACATTGTAAATAATTGGAAATCCGGCGACCGCAATAATCAAACCCTTGGGAACAACTGTGGTCGGAACCAAAGTTCACAGGTCTGTGTTCCCTGAACTGCTATCAAGCGGTGGACGTCTTCATTCTGATTGCTTGCCGCCGAACCGCGTCATAGCTTATTACCATAAAGTTGACTTCATTTCAACTCTCCTCGACGCTGATGCCGGCGAAGACGGGCCGCTCTGCTCCTCGCTTCTTATCGTCGCCGGCTCTCATTGAAAATGAATGACTTCCGGCTACTTTGACGCTCTCGCCGCTTTCGGTGTGAACGTACGGAAACATTCTTTAGTGCATTTAGTTAGATGCACAGAAGGTTAGATTTAGGTTGTGATGTCAGGTGACCAAAATTCAATGTCTAGCCAGCTTCTAAGGACAACATTATTTTGATGTCCAATAACAACGTTAAAGGAGGCTGATATTTGGTTAATTTTAGGTTGTTAGAAAGTGACCATAATCCAACGTCGAGCCAACATCTTAAATCAACATCCTATTGACGTCACATACTGACATTTATTCATCAGGTATGGCAAACAAAATCCAACCTCTGATAGACGTCATAGTGGTAACGTTCACACAACTTCAAGCTGTGACATCATTAGACGTTGATATTTGGTTGGTTTTCGGTTGGACATTGACGTTGGTCTGACGTCAACCCGATTTTCATTTTAATTTAATTCACCTTTATTTGTATAGCGATTTTACAATGTAAATTGTGTCAAAGCAGCTTTACATAGAAGATCATAGTAAATACCGAACAAAATGCAACGTCAACGTCAATCTGACGTCATGTTGATGTCTTGTGCTTGCTGGGTGTTTAAGGCCATTTCGGTCCCCATACAGTAAACATCTGTCATCTTCTCATCAGTAGCTATGTTTCCATCCAAAAATGCGAATAAACTTTATGCGCAAAACTGGATCATTGCATAAAAGCTGTGCGAATGAAGCAGCGTTTCCATCCAACGAGTCAAAGCGAACAAGAACTGTGTGTGTGAGAGTGTATGAATGTGTGAGAGTGGGGAGAGAGTGTACATTTAGGTGTGTGCAGGGCAGTGTGTGTGTGTGTGTGAGAGAGAGAGAGAGTATGTATGTATGTGAGTGAACATGCTGAATTATCTCATCAGTGAAGGCATTTTCTGGTAAAAGGGCCTGACGAAGTGAGTTCTTGTACCATAGAAACTATTTACTGAGAAAAACAGTATCATAAGCCATGTTTCTTTTCGTTCTGCTTAAGTACCCCAAAAAAGATATTTAAAATAAACAAAACAATTAGTGTATTTTGACTGCTTTCTTTAATAACTACATTACACAATGCTTGTACTTTTACTTTCAGTACTTGAGTAGAAAATTTTGAAATAAACTACTTGCAATACTTAAGTACAAAAAATGTTGAATACTTTTTTACTTCCACTTAAGTATGGTGCTTAAAGAGCACTTCTACTTCTACTCAAGTCAATTTTTGATAGAGCACTTGTACTTTTACTTAAGTATGGGTCTCTAGTACTTTATACATCTCTGCATATATACATATACATACATATATATATATATATATATATATATATATATATATATATATATATATATATATATATATATATATATATATATATATATATAACAGCTTTAACAGTGACAGTTTAGTTAAAGATGGTAGTTTATATATAAACTTATAATTATAATCAGTTAAGATAATCAGTTTATAACTATATATATATGTTGTTTAAATGGTTAACTATAGTAGGCTAATTTATTTTAAAGTGACATATTATTGTTTGCTTTTTATATTTTACAACAAAGTGATTTTAACCAAGTATGATAATATTAAGAGCTTGAATTAGTTTATTACACTTAATCCAACAATTAGACGGTCTATTATGTTCTCTTTGTATTTATGGACACATGAGTGTCATAAGTGTCTTTAACCAATTATTTTTATTTACATAATTTAAGTTCAGAAACTGCAGAGATGTTAAAATAATCGTTACGATATAATAATAATAATGACTGAAATGGGAAACCATATTTGTGAAATTCAATAGGTGGCGATGATGTTAAAGAGTTATTTACCATAAATGGTTTGCCTAGATTGTGTGCCCTAGATTGTGTGTGCCTAAAACGTGTGTAGTTCTGCGGGCCTGCAGCTGGATATATCTCGCAACAGTTATCAAGTAGCTGCTGTGTTTCATAAAACTGTAACATTACTGTAAAACTAATTACAATAGCATTACATTTACTGTCAAATGTAATACATCATTTCACTGTTGTTGTTTTTTAATGTAACACAGTACTGTGTAATTACAGTAGTGGTGCACATACTGCAAAACTGAAAACAGTATTTTACTGTACACTTTTACCATGCAGAACTACGGTATTTTAGCGTTACTTTTATTACTGTATAGTATTTTACAGTTTTTAAATATTTTTTTATACTTTATAATGAGTAAAAATGTTCAAAAATTGCACAAGTGTTATTGTAACTGTTCAAGAAATACAAGAAAAATAAAGAAGAAACTTTAACTTTACTATAAAGGTCTATTGTGTAAACCATGCTAAAACAGTAGCAATTATTCAATATGACAGAGCAACAGAACACTAATAAACATTTGATCATTAAAACCAGACGGCAATTAATGCATCAAAAATTATTACAATTTTAAAACCAGGTGAAAATACTGCTACAAGACAGGAAATGACGAAGGCCAAATGATGTTGAGGAGTGAAAAAGGGCAGCAAACTCAAGGATTGTTTCTTGTACTCTCAGCTGTGCTATCAAACTGGTTCAAGACGTTTAAGACTGGTTTCCATCAACAGTCTGCTACAACATCCTCACTACACACAGAGAAAAATAAAAAGTAGAATCACTTTAAAAGAATTAACTGTAAAAACAGTAAAATCAATCAATTTTAGATAGTATTAACTCATAGAAATAACAATAGTAACAGTTGCTTCCAGTCCTCAGCCCTCAGTTCCAGGTCTCCGTGACCTCTGACCTAGTTTGGTGGCTCCTGAAAATAGTTATAGAGACAGGCAATGCACTGAACATTCTTATATTAAGCAATGTGTTAACTTATTCATAAATTAAAATCAATTAACAGGGTTCAACGCTAAGGATTTTTTCTACTGGCCCGATCGGGCCAGTGGTTCTGATTTTTACTTGCCCGGCCAAAATTTTCACTGGCCCCACCTAAAAAAAAAAGTTAATAGCTATTTGACTGTGTGTGTGTGTGTGTGAAAGGCTTAACGGGGTTAATTAGGTTAACTAGACAGGCTATGGTAATTAAGCAAGTTATTGTATAATGATGGTTTGTTCTGTAGACAGTCTGAAAAACAATTAGCTTAAGGGGCTAATAAATTTGACCTTAAAATGGTTCATAAAAAATGTAAAACTGCTTTCATTCTAGCCAAAATAAAACAAATAAGACATTATTCAGAGGAAAAAATATTATCAGACATACTATCAACATTTCCTTGCTCTGTTAAACAAAACTTAGGAAATATTTTAAAAAGAAAAAAACAACAAAGTGGGGCTAATAACTCCGACTTCAAATGTATATATTTACAGTAATTTTTGAAATTTTTTTAAGGAAAATTATTCAGTTAATCAAGGGTATATTTATTAAATGTAAAAAAAATGTAATTGTTAAATATTCATCAACATTTTAAATAACTGCTTTGTTATTATATATCATATAGCTGTATATATGGCTGTTACACGATCATAATACACTGTGATATAGCCTGGGTCGTTAGTTCATTGCATTGTTTTGTTTTCTCACTACAATCGATCCGCTCAATAGGGCAGAGACTGTCTCATTCAGGCGATCTCGGACTGATTGATTTGGCGCGGGCGCGGATGCAAGCGCTGAGCGCAACTGCTGGATATATGCCAAACAAACCGGGCTAAAGGGGGAAACGAGACAGATTCCGAAACAAACGTCTGTGTGAAAGCACCGTAAGATTGTATTTGCACACAATTGACAGACAGTCGCAGCACGCAGCTCTGGCTCGATCTGGCAGGCAAAAAGGCAGCACTGGCCCGATTGGGCCAGTAACATTCTGTACACTGGCCCGAGTGTCTCGCACGCTGGCCCCGGGCCATCGGGCAGTCCTTATTGTCGAGCCCTGATTAAGTTAAATACTCATTCAAATAATCAAATAATTATATTTAATAAAAATAATGAGAAACAAGATGATGAAAAGGATCAATTTTGATTCATGCTGAGATGGATTGGAAGGTAAAAATCTGAATACATTAGTAGAGATAGTGTGGAGAAAGTACTCCAATATGAGGATGTACACTGTAAACAAATATCTGTCGATGAACAGCTTCTGTATTTTGTGTTTTCTGTTTGTTTGTGGTTGTGAATTGCATTACGGGATGTTGATCTCCTCTCGGTTAAACTGTAGAGTTGAATTTTCAACATCAAAAATTGAACAAAGTGACTTTTAGAGATATTTTAGTCATTTGAAATAACATTATAATTTTTAGCCAGTTAAACTCTGCTGCTATTTTAGAATTTCCGCCTGGATTTTGCCTACCCAAATTTAAAAGCTTCCCAAATCCACATGCAGAGGTGTAAATGCAAAAATTTGGTATCATTTTAAAGAAAACCCTTTGAATTTTCATAAATTACTATTACAAGTGTTTAACATAACTGTATATGTTGTCTGTGTTATAATAAACACCTAAAAAAAAGAGGCGCTTTTTGTATTTTTTTTATAAACTCAAATTTGAAAGTGTACCTTTTAGGTTCTGTGTGGTCTAGCGTGCTGTAATTAATGTTGGTGGTTCCTGCGCATGTCTGTAATCATAGGAAAAAAGAAAAATGTCTCCACCATAATCTATGCAAGTTATTGCATTCCAACTGATGAGAGGTGCTGTACAAGCCACAGGGAGCGATCATTGTTTTTATATTTCACTATTCTTTTGTTTGATCAAACATAATTCACTGTGTTTGGACCACATCAGACATATAAAAGGATTACTTATGCACATCACCTCAAAAACAGAGGAGAACGGCCCTGAAGCACACAGCGTAAGGTAAGAGATGACAGCGGTCTGTGCTATCTGGGGCTGCTTATTGCTCATAAATGCATGGTTTACATTTTTGCGCCATGGAAACATTACGATTCATTCGACAACTGTTTAATATGTGAATATAATTCAGTAAAAAGAATGCTAGAAGCGTATGAGCACCGGCAAGAGCTTTCATTTGAGCTATAACTTGTACATGTGTCATGTAAACAATATGAAAATGAACCAATGTAAAATACCCAGCTCGGATATCCAAAATACTGTGTATTTAAGTGCAAATAACTTTTGTACAGTAGAATAAAAACCAAAGTGATGCATATGTGCATAAAATATAGATTCTACACTTTCAAATGAAACCACTTAAGGGGTCTGGTGCACTGCTAGCCCTTTAAACCCTAAAGATAAAGTCGATGACGTCACGGACCCGGTAATGATGTTTTGAATAGGTCCAGGTAATATATAAAATGGCATGACATTTTTTTCCCATTCCTTACTGTTTCTAAGGATTAAGATTCTTGCTGTTTCTGAGGATTAAGAATGTTTAGATATTTGGACTAGAAACAAGTCAGAAACTCTTAATTAAGAAAATTATTTTTACAGAGTATTTATACATAGCTTTTTTTTATGTAAGGATTCAGCTTCATTTAAAGAAAACTGGTGAGTGTATCAATTCTGCACATTATCTAGTGAGTTAATAACTCACTTTCTGATACATTGACTTAGCTTTCATATTTACCATGATCTAATTAAAAATATACATTTATAAACAGGACATTTAATAATCTGAGATTGTTGACTTTAAATGTATTATTTGGCCATGTATCTTTCAGCCCTCCTACTGGACGCATTAGGAACAACAGGGGCCTAAAACTGTGGGACGTAAAACTTCTTGGATCCAAGTCTGCAGACGCCCCATATAGGAAAAAAATGGTCTCTCCAAGTACCACCCATAAGGAGCAGTACTGAAATACAGTAGCATAGTAGGCCCAGTAAAGCAGCTACAGATCTGCAGTCTTAAAACATGGAAGATTAATTTCTATTATTAGGAATATTGTCAGCCACTTTAAACATAAATAGTCAGAACATTAACACTTTACTGTGCTTATGGGGAAAAAAAAACAACCCAACTTTAATTAAAATGTGCTTTTAAAAAGTTAAAAATAAAAGGTTACTGTTCTTAAAATGTAAAAAAAAAAAAAAACTCCTGGACTTAAAATGTAACGTATTAACATAGTAGCCAATTCATCAACACCTGGAAATGTTTCAATTTGTTCAGTACAAGTATCCGTTGTAGTTAAGGTGCATCTTTCCTATTAAATAAAAGTTTATCCTACTCTGTTATGTGCAAGTTATGCGTATTTACAAAAGTTGTGCATCATGACGTTTCCATCAATCAATTTTAGAGAATAAAACCTGCTCCTGACCAGGTTAGGTTCACAGAGTAATTTACCACAGTAACTGACTCAGAGTTAAAGTTACCTCTTTCAGAAACAGGCCTGACTTACCCAGCGTTCTCTAGCTTGACAAACCTGCCATTTTAAAACAAAAAAACCCAGATTTTCTCTCATTTCGGAGTTTAAATACTCAAGTTTTCACTAAACCTTCTTTCTGAAACAGGCCCCAGGTCAGTGAACTCAGTAAATACGTGGAACACTTAAACATGTTATTGTAATGAAAATATTTAAACCATAAGAAAAATTACTTCTAAATAAAGTGTCATGTTTTGAGATGGATTGTTGGTGATTGCATGAGTGTTGGCCAGATTGGGTAGCTATATATAAACAAAGGATAAGAGCAGTTTAAAAATTAATGACCGAAAATTTAGATTGATATTAAAAGACACTACAGAAACCCTGTATTAGCTTTAGCCAAAAGGACCAATTGGTGAGCAAAAGATGCAGCGCTAAATGAGTTCAAATTGGTTCCAATGACAAGAGTATACAGGAATCAGAGTTAAATTCAATTCATTTTAAAGATCTTCAAGACTTTCCATACATTAAGATATTATAGCCATTTTAGGTTAACCAGAAACACTGGCAAGATTAACTTGGAGTATATTTACTACATATTAAAATGTAAGAATGCAATCCAAAACATTATTTACTGAACAACAATATATTAAATCTAGCTTATTCAGCAGGTTGGCGTCTATAGAACTGCAGAAATAATGGTGCTACTATGATTACTGCAGTAAACAAAAGCATGATGCCAAATCTAGCAGGATTTTATAGATTTCATTAACTACACAGCATCCTGATATTTACAGATTTAAATCTAGCAGACTTGAGCATAACCATACATTGCATAATCAAATTATATAAACGTTATTACCTTGCAAAATAGCATTTAAGACTAATACTTTAAGGGCTTTAAATTTATCTAGATTGATTTATCCACTTAATACTTTAAGACCCCATGGACAGCCTGAAAAAGGACAAACTCAGCAACATTTTACACCGCATAGGTTTTGAACTTGGTTCAATTTAAAAATGTATAAACATCATAGATTAGACAGGGGTGTCAAACTCAAATCCTGGAGGGCTGAAGCCTTGCACAGTTTAGTTCCAACCCACTTACCTGTAGGTTTCAAACAAGCCTGAAGGACTCAATTAGTTTGATTAGGTGTGTTTAATTAGGGTTGGAACTAAACTTTGCAGAGCTGCGGCGCTTTTGGAACGGAGTTTGACACCTGTGGATTAGCAAACAAAAAAAAAATGGACAAGATGCTCAAATCAGTTTAGTATAGCATTTTATTTGGTAAAGTGTGTTTGAAGCTCAGAAGTTTAACTAACAAACCCTCATTAAAATGATTTCTTCACTTTCTGGTAAAAATAAATAAAAAAAATCTTTGTCGTCAGCGTTTAGATGAAACTTGCTCTTCTTTAACCTGCAAATCAACAGAAATAAGAGAATGAAGCACTCTGAAAAACATTAACACCACAAAGAAACTCTTAAAATAAATTTGTGGCAGGATCTTCATTTTCTCAGCTCTCATGAAGAACAGAAAGAAGAGATCAGAGACCCTGCAGTGTTTTAGCACACATCCTACACCCCACAATGCACCGCCAGCAGCGCAGGGCTCTAACTGTGTGCAACTTTACAATTTAGGAGTTAAAATGGAGGCAAATATACCAAATCCCAACTGAAGAAAAGTTGGTTTTTGATTCACGCAACTGCATTAACACTCCCTATATTGTTTATCACACTACTTTGAATATTCAAACTGAAATTGCAGTAAAGTATAACTTTAAAACAACATTAGTATTATTTGATTAGCTGTGAACACTGCTGTACTTAGCCATTAGATGCTAATATGAGGTCACGATTCAGAATTGGTAAATAATTTCTGAAATTATATCAAGGAGAAAGTCTGAATGTGTTCTTATCACCAACTTTACCTCAAAAATCACACCTCAGTTTGGAAAATTAGTCTGTTAACGTTGAAGTATTTAATTTTACATAAAGTAGACCATATACAAGCAAACCAAGGGTAAAAGTCTTAAAATGAAGTCTAAATAGGGTATATGCCCAAGCATGCTAATAGGACTTTTAACTTGCGAGTAACCTGGGTTAAGCGCTTCCGGCAAGCTGTATGCCAATGCAAAAACCGGCGCGTTTAGGGTATGTTTTCTTTATAAATCAGCAATCTCCACGACTTGAGTGATATTCGGTATAACGTGGGTCTCGTATTGTACAAGAAGAACTGCATTAAATTACAGTTCCCCCCGCCATGTGTTTATAATATGAGCATTTATTTTAACCCAGTATATTTAAACGGAACTTCTACGCTAACTTAGCCTGCCGATTCTCACGGGCGCGTGCGAGTAAACGACTTTGTCTCGTTTTACGCTTGAGCAACCAAATGAATGCCAAAGTTTATTCAACTGAATGTATTTTAATGACATTACAACATAGATGCTGTAAAAGGAACCTTATCAAATGGAGAAAAAAAAAAAAGTTCACAATAACAGGTAAGTTTATCAGTATGGGGAAATGACTAGCTCTGCATATACCTTATTGTGTCACATGGGAAGAATTGTTAAACTTACATTATATGACACAATCATTTAATCAACATACAAGGCCTACTTACTTAAAATGGTTAATTTTGGTAAAGTTCGTTTTATATATTCACACATTTTCTTCTATTCAGAGTAGTAAAACTATATTAGCATACAATGACTAATCAAAACACGCTACTTTAGGAAAATTAATCAGTTCTAAATGTTAATTTGAAGGCCTAAATACATGTGAATTTACACCAAATATTCAAAGTAGCGTGCCACAATGCGTCACGGTTCATGAAATAAACTAATTGTTCAGATATAAAGCCAACTTTTACCTCAAAAGTGACTCGAGCCTCGTGCTAAACACGTGGTAGCCGAGGTTGTCACAGAAAACAAAACCTCTATTAATTCCAGCAGTTTTAAGATCACACAGCATGCTTTTACAGTTAACAAACATATTTAAATGAGTAAAATAGTATAACAAACAACTCACTTTTCACAAGAATTTCCAACGCAGCAAGAGTCCAGCACTGCTGTTTTCCTCGGAGTGGGAGCGGAGAGAAGAACATGCGTATTAAAAGCCTAGCTCATGAATATTAATTACGCATCATGACGTTGGCTCCGCAGTATAGGTTGTTTGGAATCACGTGATTTTGGTGGGGAAAGTATTAGGTCAAAATGGGATACAGCTGCGGATACTTACATCAAAACAGCACTTTTATTTTTTTTTTGTGACACCGTACAACAATAGTTCATATTTTTACATTACTATGATGGTTGGGGAAGCGGCAGGTTGTTAACAAAATACAATTTATTGGGTAATTTTGTTAATATAATGAATAATTCAGGTTAGAATTATTGTGATGGTTTGGTTCAGTGCTGTGGCCTGGGTAGACGTTAATAAATAATAAACAATTATATGCAATATAATAATAATAATTGCATAGACTTTCGGCTGCAGCTGTATTCCTTTTAGCAACAGCCATGTCTGGCATAGAGAAAAAAAATCCGCATTTTTGCTCTTTATACTATATTTTAAAAGACAAAGGGACATACCAGTTGTAAAATGAATGATTAAACATATTTGCAAAATTATAGAAACAGAAAAATTACAAACAGAAAGCTGCACTTTTATTAATTTTCATGAATCGCGTTTTTGCCAAATAACTATTCATTTATGCACAATATTCTGTAATTAACTCTTAAAAACACGTTTTTACAGTTTTTACATGGGTTTGTGATAATACAATTGGATTAATGATTCAATTGTGTAATATATTTAAACCATTCATACTGTATATGTAGAAAAAAATATATTTATTTCTTCGGAGTTGTTAATGTACTCAACAATCAGACGTTTTTTTTTTGCATATGTTTTTGAGTATGGCCTTTTTCCTGTACTAAAACTACACAGCAAAAGTATCACGTTTGTTGTTGGGCTGTTGTTGGGCTGTTGACTTTTATTTTGACGGGGCACTGATGAGTAAAGGCAGTGAATCAGAGCTGATAGACAACTAGTGGAAACGTTTTCCACAAATTTAACATAATCAAATCCTTACTAATTATGAACGGCTCGGTTTTTAGCCCTAATCCCAAAACCTAATTTTAGATAACTCTTCATACATTACAAAATCATAATACAGTTACATGCGATCACCAGAATAGAACTTTTATTTTGACATCGCGCTTCCGTTCAGCACCTCTGGTGTTTGTGTTGTTTTCTGCTCGCGGTCAGACCGCAGCGATGCTCTCTACCTGCGACTGTTTTTATTTCTCAAGCTAATCCATCATGCTTCTGTCATAATTCTGTCAAAATCCACTTTTTCTCATCAATGGTCGCGATATGGCGAGCTCTTTTCACAGACCCTCAGCTCAGGCGGCCACAGGTTTGATATTCATATTTAACGGACGCTTTTTTATGCGTTTATAACTCGATGAAATGATTAAAGTAATACGACGTATTAGTTATTAAATATGCATGTGTCAGAGCTATTGCTGTCAGTTAAATATAACTAGGCTTTATTGTTTATATACCGTTACGTGTTGTAGTCTTCTATCTAAATGCACCTGTCATGAAAGTAACTGTTATCATGCTTTTTCAGTTTTATAACAACAACAATAACACAATAATAACAATAAAAATAATTATATAAATGTAATATAACAGTTATACAGCTATGGAAATAATTGAGACTAAATAAAATCAAATTTTCTTGTCATTTATGGTTTATGTTTATGTGTTTTGGTCACATTTTATGAGAATTTTAGTGTATTATGTATTAGTTATTAAATATGTATGTGTCTGAGCTATTACTGCCTCTGTTTAATATATCTAGGCTTGCTGTCATGTTATAGCAGCATATATTGTTTATATACGTGTTGTATATTGTCTCCTATGTAAATACACCTGTCAAGAATCAAAATATTATGCTATTTCAGTTTTATAATATCTACAACAATAACACAATAATAAAAATAATTATATAAATGTAGTATATACTACTATGGAAAAAATTGAGACAGAAAAAAATCAAATTTCTTGCGATTTATAGTTTTATGATTATGTGTTTGAGTAACATTTTATGAGTATTTTAGTTTTTTTCATTAAACTGCTGATGACATTTCTTGCAAATGTAAATTAAAATGTAAATTAATAATAACATATTTAAATTTCCCCTTAATAAAAAGTAAATGTGCTGGGTTCAGACTTATTTGTTAAATTTTAGATGGCACAATATCAGTGAATTAACCGATGAAAACATTTGTTATTGTGATCAAGATTTTCTGGATAAGAAATATTATTCATTTTCCTTCAGCTTAGTCCCTTTATTCATCAGGGGTCGCCTTACCCCAACTTATCCAGCATATGTTTTACATAGCGGATGCCCTTCCAGCCGCAACCCAGTACTGGGAAACACCCATACACCATTCACAGTGTATTCAAATATTTTTGATAGTGTTTTCACACACACACTCATACACTACAGCCAAGTTTATTTAATTCCCCTATACTGGGTTCAATGATAAGGATATTTTCTACTGGTCCAATTGGGCCAATGGTTCAGATTTTTACTTGCCCTTCCAAAATTTTCACTGGCCCCATCAAAAAAATAAAAAATAAAAAATTAAGTTAATCATGACTGATTTTAAAATTCCGATAGTACAAACATAAATAGTAATACAAAATATTTTTACATGCATTTCCCGGTGGTGGGTTTATCTTAACCATGATGACAGCACTTAATATTTGACTAGATATTGTTCAAGATACTAGTATTCAGCTTAAAGTGACATTTAAAGGCTTAACTAGGTTAATTAAGGTAAAGTTAGGGTAATCAGGCAAGTCATTGTGTAATAGTGGTTTGTTCTGTAGACAATCCAAAACAAATATTGCTTAAGGGGGCTATTAATATTGATCTTAAAATGGTTTTATAAAAGCAAAAACAACTTTTATTCTAGCCGAAATAAAACAAATAAGACTTTCTCCAGAAGCAAAAATAATATAGGAAGTTTTATTATTATTATTATTATTATTATTATTATTATTATTATTAATAATAAATAATAATAATAATAATAATATAATAATAATAATTATTATTATTATTATATTGGTATTATTATTATTAATAAATAATAATAGTATAATAATAATAATAATAATTATTATTATTATTATTATTATTATTATTATTATATTGGTATTATTATTATTATTATTATTATCATTGTATTATTTAATATTAAATAATATATTATAACAACCATATGAATAATAATATAAAAATAATAACTAATAATTATGTCTTCAGCTGTAAATATACTGTATGTAAATTTCTTCTGTATTTGTGTTCCTTAGAGAAGGAGCGTCTGCTGACCCCTGTGATGGGCTATGGCTCCGGGGACCTGAACGGCGGGCCCCTGGACCTGTGCAGTTTGGGCTCTCAGCAGCAGCAGCAAGATGAGGAGGAGGCCCTCAGGAGGAAGCTGAAGTACTTCTTCATGAGCCCCTGTGATAAGTATCACGCTAAAGGCCGCAAACCCTACAAACTGGCCCTTCAGCTGCTGAAGATCATCATAGTCACTGTACAGGTGCTTCAACACAGCAGAAAACATCCTATATTAAAGCAGAGCTATTGTGCAAAAAACACTTTTATAAGGGTTTTAAACACAGTTGTGTGTCAGCAGTGTGTGAATATGACCAGCTTCTAATAGTAAACATTAATTAATTCTATATTTAATAATCAGACTTGATAAAAACAGATGGGGAAAGCCCCGCCCACTAGTGACATCATCTCCCCCTCATTAGCATCGGATGTTAGTATTGTTCATGAATCTGCCACTATGCTGAGACACAAGTATTTGTAGCTCCGCCCTTATTTGAAATTTTCATTTGCATTTAAAGTGACAGTCACCAAAACGCCACAGTTATGCCGAGTTCAGACTGCATGATTTTCAGAGTAGTCGTGTCACGGATGTTTTCACACTGCATGACTATCTGGGCTAGCGCTTCGTCGCTGCTTTGTTTACACTGCAAGATGGATCGACGACATGGACATTCACATTGCATGACTTTACTATAGGAAGAATCGCCGACAACTTCGTCCAAACTACGTCTCACAGCCAAAAAGCCTTTAATGGGGTAGAAAATGTTCATATTTGCTCACCTGGGTTTAAAGGGAATTAGCCATTTCTCCTCAACGTTGATAATAAACTAATTTCTTTCTGTATGAAACGTCAAACAGACACGGTTGCTCCTGAGTCCTGTCAAACCTCCACTAGTTTTTCCTCCATTTCGTGGGTCCAAATAAACCGAAAAAGAGCGCTTTTAACTTCTCCCCCAGCCTCCCGCTGGCCTGCAGCAGGTATACACGCACACACAAGTGAATGCTGCTCTCTCATTGGCTGTAGGCGATCGCTGATGTTATTTTCAGTCAAAACTCAATTCACACGGCATGATTTGAATCGCCGACAGTTCCAGATATTCAACACGCCAAATATCTCGCAGGCATCGGCGACTCATCGGCGATTCTCTCGGATCGCGTCTTTGATAGTTCATACTGTGTGATTGACACTCACGAGCACCGATTTGCCTGTGATTTCAGGCATTTGTCGGATCAAAACCTGAAAGGGTCAGTTTCAGAGAGTTAGAAAACATTATTAGTGGGGTATTTTAGGCTGAAACTTTACACACACACTCTAAGCAACATCAGAGACTTATTTTACATCTTGTAAAAAGGGGCATAATAGGTCTCTTTTAATGACCGTGCTTCTCATTTAGCTCTTATGCACAGTTACAGTGTTAATATCTCATTTAAAACAGCCAATATTATATTTTCTATGTCAATATTAGCATTTAGTGTGTTAATATATCAGGGCTCGACAATAAGGACTGCCCGATGGCCTGGGGCCAGCGTGCGAGACGCTTGTGCCAGTGTACAGAATGTTACTGGCCCAATCGGGCCAGTGCTGCCTTGTCACAGACGTTTACCTGCGGCTGTCTGTCAATTGCGTGCAAATACAATCTTAGGGTGCTTTCAGACATAGACGTTTGTTTCGGAATTTGTCTCGTTTCTCCCGTTAGCACGGTTCGTTTGGCATATGTAAATTCAGCAATCGCGCTCGCATCCATGCCAAAATCAATTGGTCCGAGAAAGCCTGAATGAGATGGTCTCTGCTCTATTGAGCAAATCGATTGTAGTGAGAAAACAAAACAATGCAACGAACTAACGACCCAGGCTATGTCACAGTGTACTATGATTGTTTAATAGCCATATATACGACTATATGAAGAGAGAATAATAAGTAAGGCGAGATGACATTCATACCGGCAAATGTGTGTTTCATGTCTAATACGAAAGTGAAAGCATGCTGAAATATTACCGAGAGCTGTTTATTCGTTATCCAAAGTTATCATCTGATCATTTTTCCATATTTTAATCCTATAAAATGCTGTATTAGGCCTGTTGTTTTGTTCATTTCCGCACTGACAGCTCGAAAGAAAGATCAACATTGATCTGCTTCATGATCTGATGCAGTCTCGGTTCATATGTCTCTCTAAAATGTAAGCCTATAAAGCCAACGTTTCTTTAAAAGATAGATTAATTCAATAGATAGATAGATTTTTATAAAACCTGACAACAGAAATGAGGCTCTGTATGAGAAAGTCTGACCACTCTGATTTGGTGACGATGTCTGTTGGGTGTCAAAATGAAAGTGCACACTTTCACTTATAAAATATTTTATACACAACTGCTCAAAAGTTTGGGTTCAATATTATTGTTAAATATGTTAAAATAGGCTTCTCCTGCTCACCGAGGCTGCATTTATTTAATCTTAAATACAGCAAAATTGTGAAATTTTAAAATATATTTTTTATAAAAATAACTGTTCATTCATTCATTCATTCATTCATTCATTCATTCATTCATTCATTTTCTTGTTGGCTTAGTCCCTTTATTAATCCGGGGTCGCCACAGTGGAATGAACCGCCAACTTATCCAGCACATTTTTACGCAGCGGATGCCCTTCCATCTCTGGAAAACAACTGTTCAAAAGTAGTTTATCATTTAGTTTAATCATTTATTTCAGTGATTTTAAAGATGAATTTTCAGCTTCATTACTCCAGTCGTTAGTCACATGATCCTTCAGAAATCACTTATATTATTTATTATTGTTGTTATCATTATTAGTAATATGATTGCTATTAATGGCAATAGTAATAAAAGCAATAATGTCTGGAATAATGATTTTATTTGAAACCTCACACAATAAGAAAGCAGTCATTTAAACTTTTAATAAATATTTAACAATTTAAGTTCAATTTCAAGTTCAATTTATTTATATAGCACGTTTCCAACTGCCACAGGGCTGCACAAAGTGCTTTGCAGAGAGAAAATAAACGCATGATATGAGCATAAAACAGTAAAAACAGCAATAAGCACATAATGGGAAGGAACATAGAAAAATTATCAATAAAATAGCAAAAATTAAAATAAAAAAATAGTAATATTAATAATAAAATATTTTTTTCCTAATTAAAAGATGCTACCACAGTTAACCAACACTAAACACGATAGAAAACATGACCGTTTTGATCCCCCTCCCCACTCCCCCCCCCCCCCCCCCCCCCTTCTGAAAGGGAAGGACTTATGCTTCAAAAAGACCTAGAAAATAAATGCGTCTTTAATTTGGACTTAAAAAAAAAAAAAATTTTACATTTAATAAATGTAGAATTTGTATTTTTGGCTTTTGAAACATAAATTAAAATACAGTATGTGGCTAAGAAATAGCTATTAATTTCTTTTTCATTGAAAATTTTGGCAGAGCAAGTAAAAATGGCCCGATCGGGCCATTAAAAAAAATCCAGTAACACTTTACAATAAGGTTCATTAGTTAATGCATTTACTAACATAAACTAATCATGAACAACACATGTACAGCATTTATTAATCATAATTGAACATTTACTAATGCATTATTAACATCCAAGTCTGCTTGTTAACATTAGTTAATGCACCGTTAGTTAACATGAACTAACAATGAACTACTGTATTTTCATTAACTAACGTTAGCTAACATGAACAATTACAGTAGTAAATGTATTGTTCATTGTTTATTCATGTTAGTAAATGCATTAACTAACATTAACTAATGAACCTTATTGTAAAGTGTGACCAAAAATCCTTCGCGTTGAACCCTGTATAGTAACCTCAAAAAGTGTTTAGACACATAGAGCACATTTTTACATCTTACAGTTTAGTCAGATTACCAGAATTGGCATAAAGATACGTTTGAATGTTCACTCAGTCCGTTTTCTTTTAACTTAAAATATGGCAATCATGTTTATGACAGATTTATGACGAGTTCTGTTGTCTTGGTAATGTCAAGTTGTCATGGCAAAGACAAAAACATGTTAAGATGTATTAGTTTGTGTCAAGTTGTTTTAACAAACAATGTCACTTTTGCAACCCAAGCTCATTCTGGAAACGTAGCCCCGCGTAAAGGCCGCGTTTGGTTTTTTTCGAGCGAATGCTGCGGGGCGGTGTGGCGCCGCTTCGCCCCTTCTCTTCGCGCTAGCCGGCCGACGGCTCGCCTCCGAGTGGAGGGCTTTCCCGATGCAATCAGTTTGTCCGCTTAGCTCACAGCGTTGCGTCGGCGGAGCAGAGGCCCCGGACGAGGAGGAGGAGGAGGAGCCGGCCGCGGTGGACAACGACCGGGATCTAGTCCGGGGAACAGCAGGTTCCGGAAATCAGGTAAGACGAAAAACGGAATCCGAAAAATAAGGGGAGAACGCGGCGGGATCCGAAAACGCGGTCGAAATCGAAGACGAGGGCTTTTGCTTTTTTTTTTCTGGAAGGCTTTTACGAACCGTCGCTTGGGTTTAGGGAAGGAGGAGGAGGAGGAAGAGGAGGGCGGCTTTTCGCGCGAGAACGCGCCCGAGACGCGAAAAAGCGTGCACAGCGGCCTTTCGCGATCCGCGAAAAACAAAAACCGCTCGAATACGTACCTCCCGGGACGTAAATCGCGGTCCGCAGAAACGTCCGCGGGGCTACGTTTCCACAATGAGCCCGGGTTGCACTTTTTCATTATAACTGAGCAAATGACTCTTAATAACAGATGTCATAAGCATGCATCAAAGATCAAACCTCATTCACATTTGATTACAAAAGTTTCATGGCAGTCGTATGAACACCCCTTCAAGTAAAGTGTTACCAAGCCTTTTATTGCACATTGTTTCTTTCTCATGCATCACTGCGTGTATTAAGCTCTTGTTCTGCTGTGTGTGTGTGTGTGTGTGTTTGTGTGTGGGTGTGACAGCTGGTGATGTTCGGGCTCAGTAATCAGATGGTGGTGGCGTTTAAGGAGGAGAACACGGACTCCTTCAAGCATCTGTTCCTCAGAGACTACGTGGAGGATTCGCAGGAGCCGCTGTGCCTCCACACGCAGAAGCAGGTCCATGAGCACATCCGATACGCCATAGATCAGGTACTGCTCCAGCGGTGGGGATCAGATCATCTTTCTCAGTTTCTGTTAGCATCAGTGATTACATGTAAATGCTGAAAACACTTCCGTTTAAAGGTTCAGGGTCTGTGAGATGTGTTTTATCGGAACTAAATTAATTAAATGCTTGTGTTTCAGCTAGTATGCATTAAAGGGATAGTTCACAACTTAGAAACCGATTGTCCAATTACTTCTGGACCCTTGACAAGTGGGAGGCACATATACTAACTGTTGCGTTCACCTTATTTGGATGTAAATACCCTCATATTAAAGCTGACAGTCAGTTTAATTTCAAAGCCAATGTGTTGGTGTATAGAGCCAGAAATGTTAGATTTGTGTCAATGCCCAAATATTCATGGACCTAACCGATAGTCCATTAACATTTACTTATGCATGATTAATATTCAACGTTGTGCTTTTTAACGTTAGTTAATGCACAGTGACTTAACATGAACTAGCTTTAACTAATAACAATAACTAATGTTAACAATGATGAATAAATGCTGTAATAAGTGTATTAATAATTGTTTGTTCCTGTTAGCAAATGCATTAACTAACATTAACAAATGGAACATAAATTTAAAGTGGCACCCTTATATATTGTACGTTCATAGGTATACATTTATTTACTTGAAGTAGTTTTTGTTGAATACTTTTAGAATTTTTGGTATTCATTTTATCATTATTTTCTTTTTTTTTTCTTTTTTCTTTTTTTTATAATTATTTGAAATGAATATAATTATTACTTTGATGGATGGAATAGTGCAGAGAATTGACTGGAAATAGTTGGGAGCAGAGAGAGGCGAAGGGTCTGCAAAAGATCTCAAGGGCCCTATCATACACGCGGCGCAATGTGGCGCAAGATGCGGCGTAATAGTCTTTTGCTAGTTTCAGCTTGGCGCAAGAGTGGTTTTGAAGCGTTGCGCTAGGCTGTTTAAATAGCAAATGCATTAGCGCTCATATGTGCGCCCATAGGCGTTCTGGTCTAAAAAGGAAGGCGTTCTGAGGCGGACTGCTGGCGCGTTGCTATTTTGAGAAACTAAAATAGATTTTTCATTAGACCAAAACTAACCCGGTCTAAACTCCGGCGCAGAGTTGCACCTCGCTTACACACTGCTTAATACACACAAGAGAGCAATAGGCAAATATCTTTACATATGAAAACATTTAAATATTAAGGACATATATAGGATATAATAAGAATAGATATAGAATATAAATATAAAGGATTAAAATATTACAAAACATATTATTTTCTAGCTTATATAAATATGAAAAATCACTGCTTTTATGTCTTCTTCATCTCTGGAGGCTTTTTCAGTTCATTCATAACAATTTGCTTTTGTATAATGTTATTATTATTAGCAGTATTATTTATTATATCCATATTTATATTTGTTTTATTAAAAACAAGCTTAGATTTGCCCACCTGTCATGTTTTAGACCATATGGGGCACAGCATGTGTTTTAGGATATAACTCAGGTTTTTGAGCACACTTTGTTATTATTGTTCATTTATTCGTTTGCTGGAAATTAGAACTGAATTTAGAAATAGTTTTGAAACAAATATTTGCGCTTAACAAACAAAATTAATTATTTAAAGACTAATTGATGTCTGTGTGTAAAGGTTTCCCTATCCAAGAGCGAATGTGAAAGTAGATCCATTATCTCTCATTCTCACGCAGTAGATGCTCTGTTTAACAGTTTTCTGTTAAAAAACTGTTAACTGTTTGCTAGTGAAATGATGATTTTTTCCACTTAGACTTACTTTGTGTCCTGTAAATAGCGAATGCGCTCATGACGCGACGCAGCTGGCTCTTAAAGGGAATGGGAGATGAGACTGTAATTGGTTTATTCTCAAAACACACCTATAACTCATTAAGAAAATAAACTCAACCCTTTTAGACCATGCGCCACGGCGCAAAGCGGATTTTCCCGTCCTTAAATTAGCAAAAATGCGTTCTGACACGCCCTGAAAGCGTTTGCGCCCTGCGTTTTGCGCTCTATGCATGGACCGTCAAAAAAGAGCCCCAAGTCGAGGATTGAAGTCGGGTCGCAATGAGCACCATAATGCTTTAAGTCCGCGCACTCAACCACTAGGCTATTGGCGCCGACTATCAAAGTAATTTCTGCAAAAATTCAATCTCTGTATTGCTATGCATAAAAGTAAACACACCTCAAACCTTTCTGTTCATCAAAAGTCCTTAGAAGTAAAATCGATCAGTTTTCTCAAAAATATGAAGCAGCACAGCTGTTGTAACCACGGGGAGTGACAATGACAACTGAGGTTTGCATCCAAATGCAAGTTTATTCGAAGTCAACATGGGTGCAAACAGACACAGGCAGTCATAAACATATTGACCTTATTCCAAAATGCAGAAGTGCGCCTGTTTTCGCGATTGCCTTAGAACTTCCGATTCAGTCGCCTATGGGAGAAATGACTAGGAATAATAAATGGCAGAAAATGGTCAAACTACTTGCTCAACAAACAAATGTTTGCATGACTACACAGACCAAGTAGCATAATATAATAAGAAAATATTAAATTGCAACATCAAGCAGCGTAACGAGCAGTTGTTAACGTCAAAAAATGAATGAAAGTGAATGTGACCGGAAGTCGCAAGACAAAAAGATTCAAATGGCAGCGCCCACTCGACAGCTGAGAATAAGGTGAATACAGGCAGTCCAGAATCGTAGTCAAACACAGGCAAGAGGTCAGAAGGCAGGTGGCTAAACAGGAGAACTGGATAAACAAGGCTAAGATCAACACACGGGAAAACAAGACCAGGAGAACGCGTTGTCATGTCACTAACAGTAAACAAGGCTCAGCAATGAGGGTTTCAAAGTGAGCTGTATATATGTGTGTGTAATCAGTACATGAGCAGCATCAGCTGTGCGTATGCAATCAGTCAGGATCTGGAACCGGTTGTGTGTGTGTGTGGAGCTTGACTGGTTCTTGTAGTCCATTTATCAGCAGATTTGTAGTTCATGTGGATGTGAGTGTTCACCAGCGACCTCTGGTGGTTTGATCGCTGGTGAACATGACAGCTGTTTTCACCATTGATGATAATAATTAGAAATGTTTTAATGCAATCAAATTAGCATATTAGAATGATTTTTTAAACTCTTAAGGCCCAAGGTGTTTTTTTTTACATGCATTTTTTATTTCTCTTTGCTATTTGGGCTTATTGGAAACTAATTAGAATAAAAATCTTAGTGTCATCTTTTGATATGATGTACTTTCAGAGAAAAATGATGTCCATATATGTGGACTCGTGGTCCGAATTTACATAAAACACTTTTTCCTGACTGTTTTTTAATGCATATGCAGTTAAACTCTGCAGACCTGGTACCGAGTCTGTGATATCATCAAATTTCGCTTTAAGATTTAAAGGGCTAGCATTGCACCAGACCCCCGTAAGTGGTTTCGTTTGAAAGTGTAGAATCTATATTTTATTCATCACTTTGGATTTTATTCTACTGTATAAAAGTTAAATACACAGTGTGACGCCTGCTGCGCTGTCATTTGTCTTCCGTGTCTGTCTGTGTGTCTGTTTTGCTCCCTCTACAGATGCGCTGTAACATTGCGGGGCATAATCAGGTGGATGGGGAACACCTGAGTCTAAGTGAGCGCTCCTTTATCAGCGTCCTGCCACTGTTTGGGAGTCTGATTCTTCCGGCTAAGGGTTGGGACGGAGACCAGCGGCGTGCGAGTTGGCGGGGCGTTCTTGCCTAATGTTTGATCACAGTGGGCTTAAATAAAACTTTTGTAACGTGATTTTTGGCTTCCCCCTCTTATTTTTTACTTGTTTCGCCCCGAGGGCGTAACAACAGTATTTTGCATAACCGAGCTGGGTATTGAACATTGGTTCATTTTCATATGGTTCATATATGACACATGTACAAATTATAGCTCAAATGAAAGCTGTTGTCGGTGCTCATACGCCTCTAGCATTCTTTTTACTGAATTATATTCACATATCAAACAGTTGCCGAATGAATTGCGGTGTTTCCATGGCACAGAAGTGAAAACAATACATTTATGATCAATAAGCAGCCCCAGATAGCACAGACAGCGGTCATCTCTTACCTTATGCTGTGCGCTTCTCCTCTGTTTTTGAGGTGATGTGCATAAGTAATCCTTTTATATGTCTGACGTGGTCCAAACACAGAGAATTATGTTTGATCAAACAAAAGAATAGTGAAATATAAAAACAATGATCGGTCCCTGTGGCTTGTACAGCACCTCTCATCAGTTGGAATGCAGTAACTTTTGCATAGATTATGGTGGAGACATTTTTCTGTTTTCCTATGATTACAGACATGTGCAGGAACTTCCTAAATTAATTACAGCACGCTAGACCACACAGAACTTAAAAGGTACACTTTCAAATTTGAGTTTATAAAAAATACAAAAAGCGCCTCTTTTTTTAGGTGTTTATTATAACACAGACAACATATACAGACATTTTAAACACTTTCATTGGTGTTTTATGAAAATTCAAAGGGTTTTCTTTAAAATGATACCAAAAATTTTGCATATGGATTTGGGAAGCTTTATATTTGGGTAGGCAAAATCCAGGTGGAAATCCCAAAAAAACAGCAGAGTTTAACTAGATATATAACATATACATTTTTAAACATATTTTGACTATCAGAGAGTAAAAACTATTTTTTTTTTTGCCCATTTTGGACAGTTAAAAATAATGTTTGGGGCATTTCACATGCTGCAAAACAGTTGCAGGATTACACTGTATGTCTGTAACAAAATATAAAAACCTTCAAAGTATTTTAAAAAGCCTCTTAAGAACTAAGAACCACTTAAGATGTGCTGTCCACGTATGTGGCCACTAAGCCCTAGAAGGTTAGAGTTGCATGTAACACTAAAAACTTACATTTTTAAAATATATTCACTTTGAAAACCAGGTGTTTAAAATGGTAATAATTATGCACTTTTACTGCTTTTTGACCAACAAATAAATGCTTCCTTGGTAAGCAAAATAGACTTCCATAATCAAACTAAGAAATATTTAAGTATCCAAAGACGCCGTGTCGACCGTTACAGTGTTGATCAAGCTGTTGTTGCAGTAATGTTGGTTAAACAGGATCTTAGCAACACTTTCACATCAGATAAGTGTTGAAACTTTTTTTTTTTTTTGCAAAAACCTTTAAATCCACCTATTGGAACAAGACAGTGTAATTATTTGAAAGTCACTAAAGATGCAATTAGAAATTATTTTACCAAAAATAAAACACATGACACAAACCACCTAAAATTAAGAATATATAAATCTGTCAAGTAAGTGGCGGTCCATTCCGCTGTGTAAACCCTTGATAAACCACGTACTAAGCAGAAGTAAAATCAAATAATGAAATTTGTCAGGTAAGTGCATTAATCAATTATATTAGAACTGACATCAATTAAATCTGAACAATCTGTTGTCATTTCTGATATTTGGGATTTAGATTTAATGTAAGGAGAGCAATGTAAACATTGTAAACTACGCTTGGTAGATTCAAATACTGTAGTGTAAAAACTAGTGCTGTCAATCGATTAAAAAAATTAACTAATTAATCGCACCTTTTTAAAAAAATTAATCGCGATTAATCGCATGGAAAATACTGAAACTTGTAATTTTGGCTATTTAAATGTAAAATTAATGTAAACGCAAGAAAAAAATATTTAAATTCAAAATATTATTGTTTAATAGAATTTTTGTTTAACTTATAACAGATTTCTTCATGTAAACAACAAACCCACAATAAACCATCAAGATCCTGGCTTGACAACCATATTTATTACAGAAATTAAAACACAGGCATGTTAATGACATTTAAATTTCAAAACAATTAATGCCAATAAAGAAAACATTGATTTCCATGTTGGATTCTAAGTGGACTGCAGAAAAATGCCAAAATACAGGAATTGCAGATATGGAAAATGAAAAATTATAACAATAAACTATAGAATACAAACTGTTGCACTCATTGTAAAGTTTTATTGCTGTGAGTTGAGAACATTAATTATAGAGTAGAAACAATTTTGCTCAATCCTCCTTTACATTCATCCAGTTGCTAAGACTAGGAGTATCCCGCAAGTGCACAGAGACTCCCAAATGCCCGCAAATGAATGATAGTTTCTTGCAAACCGGTCGTTAAATACATTGCACACCCCTCTCGCCCCTACTCAGATACGTCGCTCACTCCACCCCTGACACCCCTCAACAGGCCTGACACAGACACACACACAGACACACACAATGCGCTGCTGACGTTTTGGCCCTAACGGCCTTCCATACTGGAGCGACTCCCCTCAAGATTCAACACGCATGATCACGTTCATCAAATTTGCTAAGCGTCTTAAACTAAGCGCCCTAAAGTATTACTGTATTTCACAAGGATTCTGACACAACAACGCGAAGCATACGCTTTCGTTGCGTTTAATGAGGAAACACGCTAAACTTGGAGGGCTCATGCTGAAAGGCAGAGTAATGCCCTGTCTTTGACTGCTCGCGACTTCACCAGACGTTCTGAGTACATTTACACAAGACAACAATACTCCGATTTTAATATGATTAAGATTATACTCTTATTAAAAGTCTACCGTGTAGCCTTAAAAGGAACCTTACCTTAAAGGAACACCAAGTCACGAAATGCGGAGGATTTTCTTTCTGTTCGCCATGCGGTATCAACTTACAACACCCGAAATTGCATGAAACTCTGGATAACTTGTGATGCAACTAATTGTTTTATACTGGAACTTGCCTTCATAAAGTGCTTCCTTGGTTTTATCCACATTTATTGCATGTTGAATACACGTCCACCACAACAGGAAGTAAAAAAACCTGAACTGCGTTAATTTTTGTAACCCGTTAATTATTTAAAATTAATCGCATGCGTTAACGCGTTAATTTTGACAGCGCTAGTAAAAACATTGTGAAACATCAATATCTGTGCATTGTCCATTAATATAAAAAGCTTATCAGATATAAAGGTATTATGAAGTAATATAAATAATGTACAGTTTTATACATTAGATCTATCTTTTAAAAAATAGCTTACATTAGCAAATAAAACACAAGGTAGGTCTACTGGGCAAAAAGGTGATGCCTCTGACAATGTTAGAAGCTGTCATTCATTCATTCATTCTCACTATACTTAAGGTCTTGGCCTCTTGTTTATCCTCATAGAATTCTTTTGGGATAAAAGAAAAGCATCTTAACTCTGTCTTTCGTGAAACGCAGTTGCTGTTTAATGTATAGTAAATCAGACTCATTCAAAGTAGCGCCGCTGCACAAAAAAACATTATGAATGGATGCTACACTTCCAACTGTACAGTGTGTTTTTTTTTCTTATAATGCAGAGTTTTGAGGTAAGGGATGCTTTCATTTATCATTCACTGACAGTCGGACAGGCTCATCCAGAACTCCATCTTTTAAAATCGTAAGCGGAATAAAACAGTCTCCTTATAAAGTAGGCATATCAGCGCGCTGTTACTTTGAAAACATATGATTAGATTCGTGCTTCTGATTGGTTCTCAGAATATAGTGGCTTTTGCTGTCAAAGGCAAGTGACGTTTAGCGGCTTTTGCCAACAAACTGTTATTTATATGATTTAGATCAGGGTTGTCCAAACTACAGCCCGCGGGCCATCTGCGGCCTGCAATCAGTTTTGTGGCGGCCCGCGAGGCTTTTTATAAATATCAATAGAATCTGGCGCGCTATACAAAAATGAACGTAATTCAGTAAATAACCACCGGGTGTCGCTATGACACACCTTCAATTAGGCAGCAGTCCCTGTAATGAATGAAGCAAAACGAACCGAACTAATTGAAGGAAACATAATTGATAATCAGGTTTTGGCGAACCATGGTACAACCAAGAAAAAGGAAAATCAACAGTGAGAGCAGGAAATTTTAGTCACGTTGGGGCATATATATATATATATATATATATATATATATATATATATATATATATATATATATATATATATTTATATGTGCGTGTCTGTGTGATGTATGTAAAATTTGGCCCGGGACAACGTTTTTTTTTTTTGCATCTGGCCCTCGGCCCAAAAAGTTTGGACACCCCTGATTTAGATGATTAGAAATAAATCTATTAGTTGATGGTGTACTACGTGCCTAAAGCATTCACTTAAAGTCATTATCTTATTTTTGGCGGAAGTGGCGTTTATCGGCTTTTGCATCTGAACTCTTCACTTTTTGTTGTTGCATAAACTGTATACATTCTGTATAAATAATTCAATACTATTAATCCCTGCTACACCTCCAAACATCATAATATTTTGTGCTTATGTTTTAAGCGCTCTTGAAATGCTCATACAGTCACAGGCCTTAAAGGGCCATGACACCCCGCACTTTCGGTTCAGGTCTACCACAGAATCTTTTCAAAAGATGCATCATAATGGGCGTGGAGCTCCGCGAGCACAGGGCAGGAAGGGTAGAAGGAGGGTAGCGAACAACTGTAGTCAGTTAGCTCACAAAATGAGACACAAACCGTGAAGAGACAAATGATTTTATAGTTCACAAAGTTAAAATGCAAAGAAATAAACAGTAATTTAATGCCCTGCTACATTTGTTATTCGTAATTTCATATACAGATAGCCACAATTTATAACATTATAAAGATAAGTGTGTTCATGTAAACACTATAAATGAGGATTCTTCCTCAATCTCCGGGTCTGAATGCAGACTCAGTGCAGCGGGTCTCTTGCCCTGTCTATTTTAACCATTAGCCCTGCTGGTAATCTAGAGGATTTAGTCGAACACAGCACCATGGTGATGTGTCTAAATGTGAACGAACTCCTGATAAAAGTCAACGTCCGCCATTCTCCAATTCTCCTACTGCTCTCCCGACCAAAATGCTTGCAGCACACACACAGCTTTGCTGTATCAACCCTGACAGCATCGCGCGTCATGAACAGCTAAATATTATGTGACGTGTGTCCGTGGACGCAGTTTCACCCAGTTATCAACGTAGTGTCTCACAGCTTGGCACTGGCAGGTCTGCCTTGCCTTCGGAAAGCACCACTCGCAGTCATGAATAATTAAGAAGCCGGCTCTTCTCATAGGATAAGAAAACTCTGCTATGAATAATAATGAAAAACCGACGCGTCATCTTTTCACTTGCAGTTTTGCAATACGTCGCCGATTTTGATCCACTTCAAAAATCATTTTAAACCCGGAAGCTGAAATTAGCTGAAAAAGCTCAAAATTATCCAGTTTTCCTCACAATTAAAGCTGACAGGTGCTAACATTGTCTTAACTGATGCTCAACTCACACACATCTGTTAAAATCTCAAAAAAAGTACTCGAGGGTTTCGTGAACCTTTAAAAACACATGCAAATGATAAACCTTCACTTTATTATGATTGAACTTAGCCGTGGCTCCACAGATCACGTGTTCTGTGGCTCCTGGTCAACTATAATCCAGACTCATCATTGCAGATCTTGCGACTCAATTATTGCAGATGCGCATATTACGATATCGTTACTGAAACCATATATTGTGCAGCCAGAACAAACCACTATCCTATAAGCCAGAGTGAAATTAGCTGTTTGTTTATTACATTATTATGCTTAACATTTGACTCTCTCTCTCTCTTTCAGTATTTGATTCTGTCCCAGACGTCTGTCGGCAGGTACGCGTATGTTCCAGGAGTGGGTCCGAACAGCAGCGCCCTCTATCTGTGCCAACGGTACTTTAAGAAGGGCACCATCGACCCAGTTAACGACACGTTCGACATAGACCCTCATGTTATTACTGGTGGGCAAAAAACAAATTAATGTTAATTTAATGTCACACAAACCAGTTCATTCTGCTTCGAATCTGCAAGCTGACATTTTGACTCTATTAGACCCTTTTTTACAAGATATAAAACTAATCTCTGATGTCTCTAAAGTGTGTGTGTTTGAATGTGTGTTTCGGCTCAAAATACCACAGCAATAATGTTTTTTAACTTTCTGAAACTGACCCTTTTAGGCTTTGGTCCTAATTGTGGTGTTTAAGTGACTGTCTCTTTAAATGCAAATGAGCTTGTGCTGTTTTCAAAAGAGGGCGGAGCTACAAATCCCTTTGTGTCAGCATAGTGGCAGATTCAAAAACAATACTAACGTGCTAATGAGGGAGAGTTGATGTCACTAATTACTGGGGCTTTCCCCACCTGATGACACATGCAAAGGGAGAATGTCAATCAAAGTGTGTCTGCAGACTGCTTTTATCAAGACTAATTATAAACAATACAATTAATATACTTTATCATAAAAAATTGCTATATTCACACACAACTACTCTTTAAACCCATTATAAAAGTGATTTTTAGATAATAGGGATGTGCACATCGATGCTCAAGTATCGACATATCGATATTTAGAAGATTTTAATTTAGTATTGATTTTTTTTTTAAAGTTTCGATATTTTTACATTTTAATCATTTTTGCATAACTAAATGTTTTAGCGCTGTGTACAGGATTGTCAGTGACGCATTGTATACAAGACGTTACACCAATCAATCTGCGGCAGAACGTGATGTGAGTGATTATGTGCCTTTCAGATAACTTACGTAAGTTACTCAACACACGCAAGTCGCACACTTCTGCATTAATACGCACTGACACGATGGCAGAGACATAACGCAGCGTGTTGTGGTGCTCATCAGCTGAAAAAGCGTTGCACAAGCAATATTTGTGATAAGAAAGTCTTACACAGCATCAATACAAGCAGCCTTTATAAACACTTACAGACAACACACCCTGAAACTTATAAAGAAACAGAACAAAAACAAGCTTCCCTGTCTGTCAAGAGACATCCAACCTCTCTCTCTCTCTTTCTCTCTCTCTTTCTCTCTCTCTCTCTCTCTCTCTCTTTCTCTCTCTCTCTCTTTCTCTCTCTGGCATGACAAATGTTTTGCTAAAGCATTTATAAAGTTTGCATTAAAAAGAACACACACACACACACACACACACACACACACACACACACACACACACACACACATATATATATACACCGCAAACAGTAGTATAGTATTATAATATATAGTTTAATAATAACAACAATTAAATACAAACAAAAATGAATAAATCAATAAAATAATAAATCAGCTCTCTCGTTACTGTTAGGGAAATAAGAGTAAATATAAGTGTGTGTGTGTAGCTATTCAGTGTGTATATACAGTATATATGGGTATGCAGTGTGTATATACAATATGGATGTGTGTGGGTGTATATATCACACACACTACAGTGTATATATATATACACGTTATGCGTGATCAAAACAGGAACAAAAATGGGAACAAAAGATAGCGGATCCAAGTGCAGATTTTAATAATAAATAGATTAAACAAATAGATTAAACAAAAATCCAAAATACCAAAGTGCAAAGTAACAAATAAACAGCAAAACAAGAAACTATGACAGAAAAACACGAACTAGACTTTAACAGGATACTTGAACAAGGTCAGGAACAACAACTCAGAATATCAGACGAACTGGGAACTGGGAACAAGAAAGACAAGGAAGCCAACAACGCGATCACAAACAGTGGTTAAATGACTGAATACATAGTCCTGGTAATCACAGAGAATGGAGACAGCTGTGGTTGTAAATCAGTGTAGATGACAGACCGGGTGTGTGCGCGAAAGAATGGATGGAAATGTAGTCTTTTTGGGCGCTGTAGTTCCACTCAGTGTCCATTGAACTACAGCGCCCTCAGGTGGTCACTGACAGTCGTGACAATATATATATATTCAAATGTTTATTTTATTAACATTATTTTGAAAAATTACATTATTATTTAAAAAAATAAGTAGTATCGGTATCGTAAAAATTGTAATAAAAAGTATCGGTATGATATTGAATTTAAAAATTGTGGTATCGCCCATCCCTACATGATAATTCCCCTTTAAATCAAGTCAAAGCACTGACTGGTAGATTGTGTCCAAGCAGTTTAACATATATGAAGATAAGAGAATTAAAAAGAGCTATAACAATATTTCAGATTGTGGAATATTCCAGTATACAAACAAACAGTCTGTTTGAATGATCAGTGATAATGATTCAGAGTGTGTTAATGATGTGTATTCTTTATTATTGTGTGTTGGTTTAGACTGTTTTGGAGTAAATCCTTCAGATCCATCATCTCCAGTGCAAGACCTCTATCCAAACATCACCCTTAATTTTCAGAAGTGAGTCTCACACGCATATTATCCTGGCTAAATTGAAAAGATGATTTAGCTTAGTAAACCCACACAAAACGCACTGTTACTCTTTTCAGATTCTGATCTGTGTAAAAGTGCCGTTTGTCTTATGAAATCCTTGCTCAACTTCCTCTCTGAGTGTCTTTCTGTCTCTGCGCAGGTTGGTAAACGTGACCATCGAGTTCCAGCTGAAGGCCATAAACATCCAGACCATTATAAACAATGAGATTCCCGACTGCTACACCTTCTCCATCACTGTATGTACAGATTACACTGCAGATTTCACACAACCCAAATCTAGGATTTAAAGAAATCATTTAACATTTGGACAAATTTTTATCAATGCAACATTTATTTTGATCTAAAATATGCAGATTAGCTTCAGAGACATGAGTATTTTTAATGCTGAACACTTTTATTCCGCTCTATACATCTATGAAATACGTAATCTAATTTATTATTCAGCATTCTTTGGTGTATATAATGTACAAAATCAAACAAAAAGTGCTCAGGGGTATCTTAATTAATGTGTCGGTGCTCTTTGGGTAAGGGATTCATCAGAATTATCAGCAAAAGTAAGTCCAAGGCAATTGAAAAATGTGGAAAAACATTGAAAAGCCTTTATTGACATTGCTACTCCTTAAAGGTGCTGTATGTTAGTGTGACACCCAGGGGTTGAACTAGGTATTGCATTCCTTTATCAAAACAAACTCAAGCGCAGGTTGTCAGATTGAGGACCAACAGGACCGAGTTTAATGATCGAGCCTAAAGTCTGATTTAAAGCGTGTTCTAATTAAAAGCAACAGCACACGATAGAAGGAATATTTTCCATATTAAAAAGAGTTTTTGTTCTAACCAACACCTGGAATTGATATATTAGAAATGGCTTCTATTTCTTGCTGCTGAACAACAGTGCTAAATGCTAATGATGTGAGTTTGAATGCCATTTTACATGACATGTATTGCCATACTACTGAAAGCAGCATTAGATCTTATCAGATCTTAAAAATAAAATAAAACATTTGAGATAGAACTTTTGAACTCTGAAAAAATGCAAATCAACACATATCAGTGATTTAGCATCTACATTTATTAATGTTAAAGAGGTTTAATATGCATTAAATAAATTATAAACCTTACCCAGGCCCGGATTAAGAACTCAGGGGCCCCTGGGCACATTGTCTTGTAAGGCCCCTACCTGGACGCACCCTTAAAGTTGAATTTAAAAATTAAGAATAATATAATCATTTTTAAATAAAATGAATCTATAATTTGTTGCCCACATATTTAAATAAATGATATATAGTACATATGTATTTATAGTCTACAAAGATTTAACTTATTTTTCAAAGCATTGAATAAAAATGCTAATAAAAAAAAAAAAAAAAATATATATATATATATATATATATATATGTATATATATATATATATATATATATATATATATATATATATATATATATATATTTTTTTTTTTTTTTTTAAGGGTATTTTAATGTATTGCTTTTACAAAACTTATAAAGCATATTATTGCCATGGCATATAACGCACAATGCTTCTCTAATACAGTTCTATGAATCTGAGTCTTTCATAATACAAACACTGATTTACTGTCTCTCTCCACCTCTCCCTGTATTTTCTCTACTCTTCTCGTGATGAAGACTTGATTATAAACCTAAAAGTATCCGAAATCACACACACTATACCTCTTCTCTCCCGTCTCTCTCCTCTTCTGGGCCTTTCTCTCTCTATCTCCCTCTCTCTCTCCTTTTCTGTCTGTCTCTCACACGAGGAATCCAGTCCGACAGAATCCGCGTTTGCTAAATCCTCTTGTCCACTCATTTTTGATCTATGACAGATATAACGTTACTCTAAAGTCCGCTCAGTTTAGTGCGGGTTATTACAAAACTGACGTTTCCGCGCATGACCAATTACAGCATTCTGTTTAGTTAAAGAAAGAAAGGCAATTTAAATATAATAATAATATTAATATGTGATCGCGATCAGAGGAAATACAGTTGTCTGAGCAATATAGTTTTTGCAGAGAGGGAGGCACCTATAATAAGGCTAAACATTATTAAATACCCACGAGACACTTGTGACTTTATATCACAATTTGTATTATTTTAAAAAATGTTTCCTTCCTGTTAAAAATAAATATATTTCCAATCTGATATGTAATGGGGAGAAAAAAAGTAGCACGAGTTCAGCTGATGGTGGATTCGAACCGAGTTGATGATCAAACGCGTCAAAAGATGAGGCTGTGCGCCTTACAAGGTGTGCCACTGCAGCTGTAATGCTACACAGCTCTTTACTCATCTTGTCTCTATAAATCAGGCATCGATGGGCGTAAACCCTGAATAGCTTATTCCAACTAGATGCGCTACTTGCAATTAGCCTAAAATGACACTCCGAAATTGTCTTTTTTTCTCCCCCCTCGCAGGGGCCCCTAGTGCGCACGGGCCCCTGGGCCTGTGCCCATAAGGCCCATTGGTTAATCCGGCCCTGACCATACCATTTCGTTTGAGTGCAGTGAGGGCACTATTTTGTGCTTATAAATGGTTTTATTTAAATTTCTGTCATGTGTCGTCTGGTGCAAACAGCCAAACTGCTCATCCCTGCAAATCTCGTCACGTAGCGCGTTGTTAGGACACAGGGTTACAATGTAACCTGCTTTATTACGATGTTTACACTCTTATTAATCACAATTCCACAATTAATCTCATGTGGAACTCTGAATCTGTTTCTCATTTCAGTAGTCTGCTTCTGTCCACCGGAGGTTGCATTTCGGTCACGGATGCATACTTTGAGAGCCTTTCTAAATGACTTAATAAATGAAATATGCCGTATTCCACCCAGGCAACCCGGGCTCATGAAATATAATTGGCTAAAGTGGCATTGGGTGGGTTAAAACAACCAAAACAAAGACAGACGTTCCGGCACGCAACACACATTTTCAAAGCGGAATCTCTGACTTCAGCATTGTTTATCAGATAAACAAGAATGTTCGCTTAGCATGATTCTTAAATATCCGCAAGCATATTATGGTATTTTTATGCTTTAGAAGAGTCGAAAACTTGCATACAGCACCTTTAAAACCACACCAGTGTGTTTCAGCAAATACTTGCCTTTCATCAGGGTAACAGAGATCATGCGTGTCTGGAGTTTCTTTTGAACACCATTATTTCATGACTCATTAGATTATCCATAGAGTACTAATATAATATATTGAACACAAGGTAAACTCAGCAATCATTATAAATTCAACATTAAGAGAGAATTTAAAAAGTTAAATAAAAAAATGGTGAATGTTATACAACTTATCTCTCAAATAATACAATGTGAAGGTATGTAGAATAAAACCACAAAAATATGTAGTATAGTGTACAAATAAATGCACATAAACACACACGTACATGTATAAATATACTGTAAATGGATGTTTTATTGGTAGAACAAAGTCTTTACATCTATAAATGTCAATACTTTCACCTAATGTGTGATAAAAATATATATTTATTTCTTCTTTTATGCTTTACATTTTCTTCAAAATTTGCAGCACAGCTGTTTTCAGCATTTATAATGAACAAAAGCATAATTCACCATTAAACAGATCAGAAAAAATACATTTAAAAAACTGATGGAAAGATGTATTAATAAATAATAAATAAATTATAAATAATGATAATATAATATAAAATATATAATATATAAATATAATATAAATCTAATTATAAATAATAAATAATAAACAAAACATAATAAATTGTGTTTTAAAGGGCGCCAATGATGAAAATCATCTTTTTAAAGCTGTTTGGACAGAACTGTGTGTAGGTACAGTGTGTCCACAGTCATATTGGAGTGATAGAAACACAATAAATGTCTTTTTTTTTAATTTCCTGACGTTAAAATAGCATCCAAACCCCTCTCATTTTGAGGCCGTCTGTAACATGATGTAAGAGTATGGTTTCCCCGCCCACCAAATTGATTGACATCCGCGTATTAACATGTCTTTGTAGTAAAGTGTATAATTATATATCAACAAGACAGGACGTGCTCAAAGCAACCGTGAATAAAAGATGTGTTCAGCGCTCTGTGATCATCAGTCATCATCAAATGTGATCAAGATTGAGTTTTACAAGTTTAACACGTTTTTAAAACAGTGCATGCTTATAATAAAGATAATAAAATTGATTTAATTCATCACCACAGCAGCAGGTCAGTACAATTATAAATGAAGACGCTTCAATCCCGGTTTGTGGACGTCAAATCAGGTTTATTTTGTACATTAATATAACAGCTATCCATACAGCAGTGGATATTAACCTGTATTCTGACACATGTGCCTTGCAAAAACAGTGCAAAGCTAAACACACATGCTGTGTATATGCGTGGACTTTATAACGGCATTGTGTGGGACTCATCGTTGCAGAAAAGCTTGAATTAACTCCACAACAAATACATCAAATAATCATTGGGAAAGTTCTTACTGTAGTATTTCTCACAAACGTTACAAGAGATCTGCTTCCTTCATGTCTGTCACTGTGCTGTTTATCTGACACAGCCAGAGGCCGAGGCACTCAGACAGGCACGTACGAACGGTGGGCGGGGAGAACGAGCATTAAAGACACAATCCACAAAAACAGCCACAGTGTGTTCAGAGCAGCACATCTCTACATTCTAAAAGGTCTAATAAATAATCTGATGGTGTTTTGAGCTGAAACTTTACAGACACATTCTGGAGACACAAAAAACTTATCTAAATCCTGAAAAGGGGGTAAATAGGTGCGCTTTAACAAAATGTAAACACTATTTATTAAAAGCAATAGAGTATAACATAACTCTGTATAACATAAATTTTTGTGTAAGATACCTTTTTAAATAATATAAAATATTAATCTATTTTTTGTACTGCATTCAAATAAATGTTTCTTTTGTGAGCAGAAGAGACTTCTTTAAAAGCATGAAAGCCATGTTGAAGATTGAAAAGTTTTGAATGGTTGTGTGTATTTTATTTGATACGTTACTCTCTCTGTGTGTCTGTCAGATCCTGTTTGATAATAAGGCTCACAGTGGGAAAGTGAAGCTGAGTTTGCTCAACGAGGCGTTCATTAAAGAGTGCAGAGACCCCAATGTGTCTGGACACGGTGAGAGAGCACGCAAATGCTCGTGACTGGCTGTAAATGTGGGATCCTGATAAAGCTTAGCCATTGCTCTGTTTAATTCAATTCAAACTTGCTTTATGTATTGCAAACAGGATTGAACAATATATATAATTTAAACATCGAAATTGATGTGCGTGTATTTGCAATAGTCAACGACTAGATTATTTATTAATGATTAAAATATACTATTTTGATATTATTGTATAAGATTATGTGCACAACAAAGTTATAATAATTTAGGATTTGACATTTTTAGTTTAGTTTTAGTTTTTATTTCGTTATGACTTTTTGTTTTCAAATTCAGTTTTAATTAGTTTTTAGAGGCAGATTTACTAGTTTTTATTAGTTTTTATAATTTGAAATTGCTTAGTTTCAGTATTAGTTTTATTTATTTATTTTTTCGGAAATTAGGATGTTTGCTATGTCTAAGATTTAAAATCATCAGAATAAATATTGTATAGTAAAAACTCAACCAAAGACACATTTTTTAAAACATTTATTTAGGGGACACATGAACACTACCATCTACCCATCCTCAATTTCAAATACAGCAGCCCACAAGATCGCAGCTCTAATGTGTGCGAGGCTGCTTCTGAGGTTAGATACACAGTAGTGATGGGAAGTACGGATCTTTAACGCGAACCGGGTCTTTTGTGACAATCCTCCCATGTTAGGACTCAACATTCCCAAAATACTACTGTGTACTACTGTGTATCTTGTAAGTGTATCTGTGTATCACTACTGTGTATCTTGTAAGTCGCTTTGGATAAAAGCGTCTGCTAAATGACTAAATGTAAATGTAAAATATGTATTTAGCAATCATAATTTCAGTCAGTTAATACATCACCATGATCTAAAACGTTTCTTACAATTACGTTTTGCAACCCAAGCAAAGCACAATTCACTTATTTAAACTTCATTACTTGAATTTCTGTTATGAAATAAATGTTAGTTTCGCCAGATCCTTCGGTTTACCCATTGCAGTTTAATCAGTTGTCCAAGTTTGGTTCAGTCACAACAGTAAGAGGATCAGGGGGGGTCAAGTCGGAGCACTCACTCTGGTCCCCCGGGCTCTGGGCTGGTTAAGAAAATTCCAAATCGAACCAAAACAAACCATTACAATTGGCTTAAGATTGGCAAGCAAAATTCTGGACATTGCAACCTTAGTAAGTCGTTTGTGTATACGTTCTTGACGTGAATCATTTCAAATGATTCAGTTGAATTTGGTGAACTAGATCAACCGGCTCCGGTTCGGGATCACTAATACAGAAATAAAACTCATTATTGGACAAAAAAATTTTTAAATTAATGCTTTTAAGTGTCATATTTAATATTTTCACCATGCTGATGTCTTGCCCAGCCGTTGTTTTTGTCAAGGGAGCAACAGCGAGGACTGATTGGAAGACTGCCGGTTTGACCTGGCCCATGGCATCAGGTTTACAGACTCTGATGCTATACGGTCAAACATCTGTTGTGAATCTGGCAGCGCGAAGTCAATAGATTTACTTCTAAAAGCCTTATGTATTTAATACATTTAGATGGACAAAAACGCAGGATGTTTTTGCTATCATTTTGATTAATGTTAGCGCTGTATGTAGGGTTGCACAGTTTACCGGTACTTTGGTAGTATCGCGATACTATGGCTCCAAAATACTGGCGGTGCCTCTGTAGTTTGTAAACGGTCGTATCCTCATTAACAGTTCTAATAGTTAATGTTGCATGTGGAACAGAACAGTCATAGTATACGCAAATAAAACATAATATCTGTTTAAATAAGTACATATGGGTTTTCAATAATAAGGGAATTATGAATTAAATGTAAGTATTTCAACATGTAAAATATAGTATTTGTGACAATTTGCTTTATTTGACTTGAGTTATGAATTTATACAGTATCGCGATACTACTTGGTATCGTGATACTTCAGCTGGTATAGTATCGCGGCTTAAATTTATAGTATCGTGACAACCCTATTTGTATGTACACAATATATATATATATTTTCTGTTCTAGTTTTTTTAAACTCTCGTTCTTATTTTTACTTCAGTTAATGAAATTATTTTTCAATTCTAGTTTTTGTTTTTCGTTCGCTTTTATTAACTATAAAAACATTGATATACAGTGAAGACCATGTTATTTAACATTTGAATGTTCCTTTTTTGTATTTGCATACTGTTCTGACTCTCCGGAACACCATAAAGCATTGTTTATTTAACTTTTGTTTTTACTCTGTCGTATTTAAATTTGCTTGTAATTTATTATAATTTATGCAGATGCACTGCATAGAGTAAGACTTGATCACCCCAGTCGATCTAAGTGAATGAAGTCTTTCCAAATAGTGGTAATTATATTCATATTGAGATGCGTATTCCAGGAAAACAAAAACCTCAATGTCAGATTTTTTCAATATTGTTAAGATCTAAATACCAAAGCATTTGTGACGTTTACATTAATTGGAAAAATATTAAAACAAATTACATGATAGTGATAAAAATAAATAAATACAAACAGTCAACATTTTAGGATTCATGTATAACAATTTAGAATTAAGTGTGTTTTTTTGTGTGTGTTGCTAACAGGAATCTGTTTTTTCACCTAGTAAATAGTGAAGTTGTGTTTTATTGCTTGAATTAACATGTTATTGAAGTAACTTAATTAACCTAATTTCAATGTAAATGAGCTCACATATGAAATCTGTGTGTGTGTGTGTGTGTGTGTGTGTGTGTGTGTGTGTGTGTGTGTGTGTGTGTGTGTGTGTGTGTGTGTGCAGGAGACAGTTACGCACGTGTGGCCTTCGATGTGTTGGTGGCGGTGGTCTGCGGTCTCTCTCTTGTGCTTTGTGGACGCTCCATCCTCAAAGGAATCATGCTACAACATGTAAATTAGAGAACGATTTATACAAGTGATTTTTTTTACAGAAATAATATAGTATCAATTGTTTATAAGTAAAAGCAATTGTAGTTGTGACAATACCATGGTAGAGCAGTGTTTTAAAAAAATAACCAATGTGTTGACAAAAACACTTTTATTTTGTTAAAAATGTATCAGCATTTGAGAACACTCCACCTCCACCTTTACTGACTGCACCTTTATTGGCCGTCTGAGTTTAGCTAACTGACCAATCAGAGCAGAGTCAAGATATCTGACCTTTAAGAGCATGGTAGGGCAATCTGACCAATCAGAGCAGAGGTGAGCGATCTGACCAATCAGAGCAGAAACCAGCTATCTGGCTGAGGTAGTGTAAATTTGGGTCGTCTGACCAATAAGCTTAGAATAGGTCAGTCTGACCAATCAGAGCAGGGTGGTGTCATTTGAACAATATGCACAGAGTATGACTATCTGACCAATTAGAGCAGAGTAGAGCTTTCTGAGGAATTAGAGGAGGGTTATCTGACCAATCAGAGCAGAGTAGGGCTCTGACCAATTATAGTAGGGTTATCTGACCAATCAAAGTAGAGTAGGGCTATCTGAACAATCAGAGTAGAGTAGGGCTATCTGAACAATCAGAGTAGAGTAGGGCTCTGACCAATTATAGTAGGGTTATCTGACCAATCAAAGTAGAGAAGGGCTATCTGACCAATCAGGGCAGAGTCAAGCTATCTGACCAATCAGAGTAGACTCAAACTATTTGACCAATCAGAGCAGAGTCAAAGTATCTGATCAATCAGTGCAGTCAAACTATCTGACTAATCAGAGTAGACTCAAACTATTTGACCAATCAGAACAGAGACTAGCTATCTGACCAATCAGAGTAGAGTCAAACTATCTGACCAATCAGACTAGACTTAAACTATTTGACCAATCAGGTCAGAGTCAAACTATCTGACCAATCAGAGTAGAGTCAAACTGTCTGACCAATCAGACTAGACTTAAACTATTTGACCAATCAGGTCAGAGTCAAACTATCTGACCAATCAGAGTAGAGTCAAACTGTCTGACCAATCAGACTAGACTTAAACTATTTGACCAATCAGGTCAGAGTCAAACTATCTGACCAATCAGAGTAGAGTCAAACTATCTGGCCAATGTGACTAGGCTTAAACTACTTGACCAATCAGGTCAGAGTCAAACTATCTGACCAATCAGAGCAGAGACTAGCTATCTGACCAATCAGAGTAGAGTCAAACTATCTGACCAATCAGACTAGACTCAAACTATTTGACCAATCATTGCAGAGTCAATCTATCTGACCAATCAGAGCAGAGACTAGCTATCTGACCAATCAGAGTTGTCAAATTATCTGACCAATCAGAGCAGAGACTAGCTATCTAACCAATCAGAGTCATCAAATTATCTGACCAATCAGAGCATAGTTAAGCTATTTGACCAATCAGAGCAGATTAGGGTCATCTGATTAATAAACTCAGCAAAGAGCCATCTGACCAATCAGAGCATGGTGTGGACATTTGACTAAAATGCACAGAGTAGGGCTATTTGACCAGTCTAAGTAGTCATGCTATCTGACCAATCAGAACAGAGTCAAACTATATGCCCAATCAGAGTAGAGTCAAGAGCAGAGTCAAACAGCAATCTGACCAATTAGAGCACAACTGAGCAATTTGACCAATGAGAGCAGAGTCAATCTATCTGACCAATCAAAGCAGAGACAAGCAATCTGACCAATCAGAGCAGATTTGGGCCATTTGGCCAATAAGTACAGAGTAGGTCTATCTGGCCAATCAGAGCAGAGATAAGATGTCTGACCAATCAGAGCGGAGTAAGTTGGAAAGTCAGGGTTTAAAAAGACGATTTTGGACGGATGTCGTGATAACAGCTGATGCGGCTTTTTGCTATCTTTCATCATTAAAACAGAGTAAGGTGGAACGTCTATTTTGATTTAATGTTGATTTGTGTTGGCAGGAGTTGGTGTGTTATTTCCGCGTGTCTCTGGGTCGTTCTGTGAGTCTGGGTGACCGTCTGGAGTTCATCAACGGCTGGTATCTGCTGCTCATCATCAGTGACGTCCTCACCATCATCGCCTCCTTCATCAAGATCGCCATCGAGACCAAGGTGAAGCGCGCTTTGAGTCTGTGTGTTTGAGATCTGGCTGTGTTCGAGGAGCTGACGGTTGTGTTTGCGGTGTAGAATCTGTCCTCGTATGACGTCTGCAGTATCCTGATGGGAACCTCCACTCTGCTGGTGTGGGTCGGGGTCATTCGATACTTCAGCTTCTTTCAGAAATATAACGTGAGTTCTGATTTTTTTTAAATGTTTATTTTGTGTGTATATATCCAAGTTAGGGCTGCGAGATTCTGGCTAAAATGAGAATTGCTATTTTTTTTTTGTTTAAAGTCAAGATCATGATTTTCTCACAATTTTGTAGATGTATAATAAAGGTTCTTATTAGTAGGCTATTATTATTGTTATTCACAAACATATGGTAAAATAATTGTAATAATAATATATAGGGATGTAACGGTATTGTAAATACCGTCATACCGCAATATAAATTTTTTTCGATATTACCGTAGTCGCATGACTCGGTAAAACTATAGGTCTTCTGAGAAAATTTGCTCAGGCGAATGAAGCGAACGGGAGGTAGCGAAAACTACAATACCCATCAGCCCATGCTTGACCATCATCCCTTGCGGTCCGTTGTCGCTACAGATCCAGTAATGCGGAAATGGAGTGTGCTGCTAGAAGCGGGGATGAAAAAGAGCTGGAAAACTCTAAAGCGGGTGTTGTCGCCGCGCGCGTATTGAATAACGGTGTTGTCGCGCGAGTTCTTATCAGCTGTGTTGTCGCGCGCGTACTGAATAGCGGTGTTGTCGCGCGAGTTCTTATCAGCTGTGTTGTCGCGCGCGTACTGAATAGCGGTGTTGTCGCGCGAGTTCTTATCAGCTGTGTTGTCGCGCGCGTACTGAATAGCGGTGTTGTCGCGCGAGTTCTTATCAGCTGTGTTGTCGCGCGCGTACTGAATAGCGCTGTTGTCAGCACACTGTTCAGATTGATGCAGACATGAGACCTCTATCTTACTCATGGTTTGTCCTCTCAAGTCGGGGAAAGACTGCTGTCTACTGCTGTCAACCTGGGCCAAGTCATATCTCTCTTGTCCCAGAAACCTCAGTCCCAAATGAGAGGGTTTTTTTCTGTTGCAGGGGACATTGTAAATACCCAGAGATACCAGCTTTTACCAGATAATATTTATATGATAATTTTCTTTTAAACCCATCTCTATCTAAGTGAGTGAGTGATTAAATGTTGAATGTGATGAGTTTTCAACAATACTAAATTGAAACTTTATTTTTTTTACATGGTTTTGATTTTTTTGTTATTAAAATTGAAGTTCCTGTTTCAAAGCTTACAGATAGATGGCTAATTTGTATGTCATTGACACTTTTGGCACTTTTTTGGAGTATTTTCATAAGATTTGTTTTTTCTTGTAAATGATTCAATAAATACCGTACCGTGACATTCATACCGAGGTATTACCGTACCGTGAGATTCTGATACCGTTACATCCCTAATAATATAGTATAAACAGCACTTTATACAACGAAACCGAATAATCATATCGCATTTTAGAGTTATGATTGCGACAAGTTTTTTTCTTTCATAGCGCACACACTGCTGTGCATGAAAATACATGTTTACAGCGTCAGTATACCTACTCTAGCCTTTATAATGTTGATTTTACCAGTGAATTAAATGGTCTAATAATGTTCTCAATGACAGATTGCAAGCATAGGCCTATATCTCAAACATAAATCAACATCAGAATTATTATAAGTAGAATAGAATTATTTATAGAAACCAGTAGACCTACACATAATATTAATATTAGTCCCTTTCACACAGTGATACCGGTAAATATCTGAAAAATTTCCGGAAAGACTTTACCGGTATATTGAAAAAAGCGCTGTTCACACAGGCGAGGACGTTACGGAAATTTTCCGGAAAAGAGCATTCACACATCCATTCCAAAATACCGGTAAATTGTGACATCATTCACCACAAATGAGCTTTAAACGGCTGCGCTTGTATTTGTAAACATTTGACTACATCACAAACTCTGTGGATGATCAATATTGTGAACAACTTTCGCAGGATCACTTTCTCATGTCGAGATGTTCATAATATGTGCGTGTGCAGGCGCTCACAGGCTGTTTCACAGGCACACGCAGAGCTTGAAGGTAAACAAACAACGGCTAATCATAAGCATCTCATCGATGATTATTTACACAGTTGGCATTAAGAAGAACATATAAACATGATCTGACTAACTTCTAGCAGCTAAATGTGTCTGGAAAAATATTCAAAGGCTTTTATTCTCATAAACTGCGCAGACGTGAATGCGTCTGACTGTTGTGATTGGCTAAAGTAGACGTCTCACGTCAGCACGTTCTAGACGTGCACGCGCTTATTACGGCAATCTTTCTTCTGCATTCACACAGCGCAGCGTTCCGCCAAATTACCGGTAATGTTACAACTTCTCTTTCCGGAAAATAGTCAGAACGATTTTACCGGTATTTTCAAAAAGGACCTGTTCACACATACAGACCTTTCCGGAAAATTGCCGGCAATTTTCCGGAAAGGTCTGTATGTGTGAAAGGGGCTATTGTTGTTTTACCATATGTTTGAGAAAAAACAATAATCTCATATTAAGCTTTATTTTACATCTACAGAATCGTGAGATAATCATGATCTTTATTTTAAGCCAAAAAATCCCGATTCTCATTTTAGACAGAATCGTGCAGCTCTAATATGCATTGTAATTAGCACAAAGGCGGCAAGGTGGCTCTGTGGTTAGCAGTGGTTAGTGGAAATAAACTGGTCGTAGCGTATGAGTGCGTATTAAGCCCCAAGTCTAGAGGAAACAACATGGGCATAATAAACGAAGAAAAAACAAATGTGTTGGGGTGGTGGATTTCCCAAACAAAACAAAAACTTAAGACAAAAGATTCCCTTCGGTCGACAACCAAACTCAGAAACTCAGTTGAGAGTATATATGAATAGATTTATTATAGAAAAATGTGGTTAATATAAATGAGCATCTCTTCAGGGTGACCACAGGCCAAAATAACAGACAAAAGAATCTACAAAGTAAATGCACTAAATTACCTATTACTATTTAAAGAAAAATACAAAAAGTAGGGCTGCTCGATAATGGGAAAAATCATAATCACGATTATTTTGGTCATAATTGTAATCACAATTATTCAAAACGATCATCAGTCAAAATTATTCGCCCTTCTGTGAATTTATTTTTATTTACAAATATTTCCCAAATTATGTTTAACAGAGCAATTTTTTACAGTATTTCCTATAATATTTTTTCTTCTGGAGAAAGGCTTATTTGTTTTATTTCAGCTAGAAAAAAAATCAGGTTTAAATATTTTGAGACCTATTCAGGGCTCTAAATTGTGACCATTTTGGTCGCATATGCGCCCGAAATTTTATCTATCCGACCTTAAAATATATTTGGGAGCATTTCTGCGAGTGCTTAAAATTGTTGTGTGCGACCAGTTTTTACTGCAAAATGTTCACCACATGCGCGGATTCCGGAGACATTCACGCAGAATGCATCTCTAAGCTCTTTGTCTGCACTTGGAACGCGAAACGCAGCGCTCAGGAATGGTTTCAAACAGTTGTCATGTCAACTTGCTGCAGTAAACAAATCCAAGTCCGTAATGCTTGCCCCGCCCTCGCGCTCTTCTTATTGGCCCACCACTGCTCTAGCACTGAACGCGAATGATTGGTTAATATCAGCTGTCAATCACTCAGTCAGCGCCATCTGGCTTTGGATGACAGAGAGAGCTACAACCGCGCGCGAAAAACTAAAGCGCTGAAGATGAGAATGAAGATAACGCAGACAGATTTAGTTTTAGAAACCATGGCATCCAAAGTTATAAATAATGACACATCTTACTAGTGACCATGTGCTGAATGTTAATCCACCATCTACACTTTTCCAAGAGTAGAAGACTTCCGTTGGCTTCAAGTCCGCTATGAAAAGTCTGTGAGATGAAGTTTTCAGGTAACTGTTTGCCACATCTAGCACGACAGCTTCTGTTTAATCCTTCATATAATTGCCAGATTCTGTCCGCCATGCAAGTGGCAGCTACGTATACCACGTAACACCACGTACACCATCGCAAACGGGCTTACACTGAGTAAACTAATATCGCCACTCATGAAAAGACCGGTATTGCTATTAACATGTATGCATATAATAAGGTACAGTACATGTCAAAAGCATCAGTGCAATATCAGACAGCACTTGTAAGAACAGCACAGTTATACCGTTAACAGATTCAGCAGTGTGTGCAGGGCCGGTGAGCGCTCCGTGTATGCTTTTGTCACACACTTATGTTATAAAAATCTATTTTCTTGTGATAGCGGGATTTCGTTGAGACATATTTTCCTCGTGCTTGCATATATATATATATATATATATATATTAACTTTTTTTTCTTGTTAGTTTGATTACTGTTGATTTCAAATACAATAAATCTGTTTGTATAAAACTTGTAGTAACGGTGCTCATAATTGGTGGGTGCGACTAAATTTTGGCTGATGCGCCTACATTTTTTAAGTTAGGAGCACCGGTGCTACCAAGCAAAAAGGTTAAGTTCGAGCCCTGCTATTTTAATAGCTCAATATAGCCCCCTTAAAGAGCCCATATTATACATGAAATAGGGTCATATCTTGGTTGTAAGGGTCTCCAACAACAGTTTAATATGCATGCAAGGTCAAAAAAACACTTTCGTGGTCTTATAATCTGCATTTATTTTTACCTAATTATCCCAGCGACTCCCATATGAATCGTCCAGTGATTCATTTGTTCCCAAACCCCTCCTTAGCGCGAAGCTAATCTGCGCTGATTGGACCAATGACTGTCTGTTGCGATTGGTCGACTGCCTTCAGTCAGAGAGTGAAAAGCCAAACAGCTAATCAGCAATATAAAAGTAATCACAGTTCATACACGCTCGATGGTGTAGGAGTGGATTTTAGCTGCCAGTGGGTCAATGTAAATACAGACTATGGACTTGAAAATTCAGACGATTAACTATTTTATTGAGCAAAAACTCCAAAAACAGTTGAGGAGATCTCCTAGCTTCTCACTCTGCTCTTTTCACAGACACACACACACATATTGCACACACACACACACACACGCACACACGCACTTAACCCTGCTCCGGACGACAACGCGCGCACACACACACACAAACACACAAACACACACACCTCCGGATGACAGCGCGCGCACACGCACACACAGAAACACACACACACACTACTCCTCGTCCACGGAGCTCCGTTAACAAAGCAGCACGCGTCGCGTTTTTAACGTGACTTTGCACGCGATAAGAGAATATAGCCAGTTAACCTGATACAGTACACGCGGTTACAAGTAACAAATCACAACTAAATACATTTGCAAGCTAGAGTCAACGAGGCAACTTTAATCGCACGTACTTACATTTGAGAAATGGAGGAAGAAAAATCCATCCTGACGTCCAGCAGTAAGTTACTCTTTACTGATCCTTCCTTTAACAAACGCAGATGAAGTATTCTTTGTAGCATGTAGCTTCCAGTAGTTTCCAACTGCTTGGTTATAATGCTGAGGTTTCATCTTTGGGTAGAGACTCAATATATCCATCTGCAGTGTGACTTCAATCGACCGGCATGTTTGTGTGTGTGTGTGTGTGTGTGTTTGTGGGTGTCTGTGTGTGTGTGTGTCTGGGTTTCTACGTCAGAGGGCGGGGCCTCAGGTTTGAAATCTCCCGGGTTTGCGCGTGCACGTGAATAACTTGGTTTCGTTCGTACGTCATGGCGAAACACCTAATGACTCGGTATCAAGGCGACTCGTTTGAAGCACTATGAGTCGACTCTTTTATAGAGGAATCAACAGTTTTAAACACTGTACACTAACAGATTGAAGCCTTAGCTGGATACTTCACTTCACTTAGAGCTGTGTTACACACTACATGGAGGGGAATTTTCAAAAACCCATAATATGGGCTCTTTAAGCAATATATATTTTTGACTGTCTGCAGAAGAAACTACTGTTACATAATGACTTGCCTATTTACTCTATTTAAGCCTTTAAATGTCACTTTAAGCTGAATACTAGTATCTTGAAAAATATCCAGTAAAATATAATGTTCTGTCATCATAGCAAAGATAAAAGAAATCAGTTATTAGAAAAGAGCTATTAAATCTGTTATGTTTGAACTGTGTTTTAAGCATCTTCACTGTAAGAAAAAACTTTAACTACAAAAGTTCTTCACTCCAGAGCAGTGAGTGGATTTTGTCCTTTTGTTGTTTGATTAATAATAAAAACAGCAGCAGGAATATCGCACGCTGTCACTTTAAGAATAGTGCGGCTCTGATATGGTTTCTCTTTCACGTGTCTTTTGATTCTCAACTTGTTTGTTTATTACACAAATGAGGGTTAATATGAATAAGCACTAAACACCGCGCATGTATTTGACCATTAAAGCTCATGCATTAAGATGGCGTTAGATGTCCGTGTGCTCTGCTGTCTTAGGCTAAGCGCGGATCGGCGCGCGCACACAGACACACACAAACACACTACCTGTCTGAGGCTAAGCGCAGCGCGCACACACACATCAGCACGTTCTCTTTCGCGCTTAAAGAAATATCAATGATGCGCATCCTATGCTGCAAAAGTTACATTACAGCACATCTTTTAGTCACTTTCACGTGGAACTGGAAAGGAAGCGGTATAAGACGGAATAATGGTTTATCTCGATTAATGGTTTTTTATAAACGTTAGAAGCCGTAATCGAAATCGAAACCGGATTTTCGATTTATTGCATAGCCCTAACAAAAAGCTTACCTTACTCCCTAAACATAAACATATTCAAAAGTAATCAAATAAATAGGCAGACCACCCCAACACGCTCAAGCTCTCAAAATATTTTAACGATTATGAACATCAGTACAATATTGGTTGTTGGTCGTCGGCCGGAGGGGTGAGGGAAACCCAGGAGCTCCACTCCAAACACCGAACGCAGCGGAAATGAGCTCCCCGAACCCTGCCGGAAGCTCCTTTATGTACAGGCCGCCGAGACCAGCAGCCAATCAGAACAAGGGATCACGTTCATAATCACACTATGAAACAACAAGAAGGCGGGACTAAGAAAAAGACGTGCAATTCGCAATAATAAATAAATAAATAAACTTCAGTCGTAACAGCGTGTGTGAATGTGAACGTGAGAATGTATGGGTGTTTCCCAGTGCTGGTTTGCAGCTGGAAGGGCGTCCGCTGCGTAAAACATATGCTGGAATAGTTGGCATTTCATTCCCCTGGTAAATAAGAGACTAAGCTGAAGGAATTCATTTTAATTGAAAAGGTTTTGAACGATACCGTTTTAATGTAATATAGGAATGAGAGTTTGAGGGGAAATGTACTTTCTTTATTGCAACAGCAATCTTCTCTTTTTTTATTTTTATTTTGTCTTGAAATGTTTGTGTTTTTATATATTTTCTATTAAGCAAGTGTTACCTATTTAATGACACTAACCATGAGACAGAAATGATGTAAACAGTCTCTGTTTTCAGATTCTGATCGTGACTCTACGAGCTGCGTTTCCAAACGTTATCCGCTTCTGCTGCTGCGCTGCTGCCATTTATATGGGCTACTGCTTCTGCGGCTGGATCGTCCTGGGACCCTACCATGCCAAAGTATGAGCTATTTCAGTTATACCACGCTAAAGCACGATACCATGCTAAAACATGTTGCATTTATTTATTAATTATACCATGCTACAGTATGACATATTTCAATTATAACATGCTAAGGTTTGATACACTTTAATAATACCGCACTTGAGTTTATATGCAGTTGAAGTCAGAATTATTAGCCCCTCTTGTATATTTTTCCCCCAATTTGTGTTTAACGGAGGGAAGATTTTTTTCAGCACATTTCTAAACATCATAGTTTTAATAACTCATTTCTAATAACTGATTTATTTTATCTTTGCCATGATGACAGCACATAATAATTGACTAGATATTCTTCAAGACACTATTATTCAGCTTAAAGTGACATTTAAAGGCTTAACTGGGTTAATTAGGGTAAAGTTCGGGTAATTAGGCAAGTCATTGTATAACAGTGATTTGTTCTGGAGACAATCCAAAACAAATATTGCTTAAGGGGGCTAATAATATTGACCAAAAAAATGGTTTTCAGAAAAAAAAAACTGTATTTATTTTAGCCGAAATAAGTCAAACTTTATTTATAGAGCACTTTACAAACACAGAAGTAAGCTGTATAGAAAGTATAGAACAGCATAAGTATAATAGTCTATAAAATACATAAAACACAAGATAAAATATAGTTAGACGGTCTATTACGTTATTAAGGTCAAGTGTCAAATGTCAACAAAAGCAAATGAGTATTAAGAGCTGATTTAATTGAGAAAATGGAAGAGGCCTGTTTAATAGGCGGCGGCAAATCATTCCAAAATTTAGGACCGATTCCCTCTAAATTTACATTTTGTTTTTGGCACAATCAAGAGAAGATGACCCTTAGCTGACTTAAGAGAATAAGTGGGCTCTTAGAGGTGTATCAGCTCAGAGATATAATGTGCAGCAAGACCATTTAGAGGTTTATAAAAACAAATAAACAAATTTTAAACTGTTTTCTAAAATGAACTGGCAAACAATGAAGCAAAGCTAACATGGGTGAAGTGTCAAATTTGCGAGTATTAGTTAACAGCATTTTGCACCATTTGCAAACAGGCAATAGATGACCTGCTACTTTCCACATACAGTGCATTCGAGTAATCTAACCGAGTGGTCATAAAATCATGAATTACTGTCTGTTGTTTTGGTATATATTGCTTTGTTTTTGCTAGTTGTCTTAATTGAAAAAAGCTAAATATATTTTTTTTTTTTTTTAGAATATGCAAAAATCATACAAATACAAGAAAAAAATCAACAAATAACAAATACAAAGCAACGAAACAAAAACAAAACCAACAACAATATAGTCATGTACTGGTATGTGCTTGAGTGTGTCCGTGTGAGTGTGTGTATGCATGTAAAGGTAACTTGGTGGACAGGTCAGAGTACATACATTAGGAACAATAACAGTCAATAAATGAAGCAAGTGTCACAGATATAGACAAAACATATAGAAAGAAACCAGTCAGAGGTAGGGAGTAACAACGATGCTTATTAATGTATGATAGTAAAAATGAGAGTAAAAAGAGAGAAAGGACAACAGTAATAAATGACAACAATAATAATAAATCACAAGTGCTACACAAACTACTACTACAGAAAGTTACTTATATTACAACTACTAATGCTTCTACTACAGCTACAACCACGACTACTACTACTACAATGTCTACTAATACTGATACTACTACCACTACTGATACTACTATAGCGTTTGCTACAACTAATACAACAACGTCTACTGCTACTACTACTATTACTACTACTACCACCACCACAATCACTTCTACTACATCTACATCAACAACATCTACTACTGATATTACTACACCAACAACGACTACTACTACTACTGTAACTACCACACCATTACTACTTCTGCTACTACTATACCAATGACATCTATTACTACATGAACTACTACTTTAATAATCTCCGTAACAATTACTCAATAACAATGGATACTATTACAATGTCTACTACTTCAACTACTACTACTACTACTACAACTACTACAACTACTACCGTTACAACTACAACAACTGCAACCTTACTAATGATAATGGTATAAATACTTGTAATAATGATAATGGAAAGATAACCGGACAAGTCAGAACAGTAATAATAATTATGATTACAAAATTAAAAGTAATACCATTTATGACAAAGCATTTTAGGTGTCGAGGAGAGGGGAGGATGGGAAATCAGGGAGAGGACAAGTAATAATAATAATAAATAATAATAATAATAATAGTAATAATAATAATAATAATAAATAATAATAGTAGTAAGTAGAAGGGGAAAAAGAGGAAAAGAGAAAATAAACTAATAATAATAAACAAAAATTAATAAAATAATAATAATAAAAATAAATAAATAAAATAAAAATAATAAAATAAAACAGAAAAGGACGGGGAGGAGTAGAAGAAAAAGAAAAGAAACAAAAAGAGAGAAGAAAAATAAAGTTCAGCAAACAAAGCAATGAGAATAAGCAAAAAAAAATTAATAATAATAATAAAGACTAAATAAATAAAAAAGAAAACACTATATCAATGCTAATTATGAATTATACAAACCCACCTGGAAGAATAATATTAAAGATATGTATGATAGATAGATAAAAGATAAAAGCTAGATTTAACCACCGCTCTAAACTGATTGTCAAATTTAAAATCTGAGTCAAATTTTATCCCTAAATTTGTGACTTTAGGGCTTAATAGGCTGAGCTAACGAGCCCAAATAGAATAGGGGAGTCCCAACGGTACCTTCAAAAAGCATTAATTCTGTTTTGTTTGCATTAAGTCTTAACAAACTAAAAGCCATCCAAGCCTTCATTTCACTAAGACAATCAAGGAGCAAGTTGACAGTAATTTTTCTAAGCGGCACTGTCATCTGCATGACAATGGAATGACAAACCACACTTCCTAATTATTAAGCCAGGGCCGATAACACAAATAGGACTTTCTCCAGAAGCAAAAAGCTCTGTTAAACATAATTTGGCAAATATTTGAAAAACAAAATTCACAAGTGGGCGAAAAACTCTGACTTCAACTGTTTGTTATATATACTTCATTTCTGAACCAGCACGCCAAAGGCCGTCATGATAGAATTGACAGTGTGTGAATGAGTCATTGTGAATGTGCGTGTGTGTTTGTCCGCTAGTTCCGTTCTCTGTCGACGGTGTCCGAGTGTCTGTTTTCTCTGATCAACGGAGACGACATGTTCGCCACGTTCTCGGAGGTGGAGCAGAGCGGGACGCTGGTGTGGGTGTTCAGCCAGATCTACCTCTACACCTTCATCTCGCTCTTCATCTACATGGTGCTGTCGCTGTTCATCGCACTCATCACCGGAGCCTACGACACCATCACTGTGAGTCCGTCCACACACTGAACACACAAAACACACTTATATACAGTTGAAGCCCTTGTAGTGGCAATTTTCTTTAAAGAGGCTTTCCCTGTGGTAAAGAAACAAAGGGCTCTATTTTGACGGTCCATGCGCAGAGCGCAAAACGCAGGGCGCAAACGCTTTCAGGGCGTGTCAGAACGCATTTTTGCTAATTTAAGGATGGGAAAATTGGCTTTGCGCCGTGGCGCATGGTCTAAAAGGGTTGAGTTTATTTTCTTAATGAGTTATACGTGTGTTTTGAGAATAATCCAATCAGAGTCTCATCTCCCATTCCCTTTAAGAGCCAGCTGCGTCACGCCAAGAGCGCATTCGCTATTTACAGGACGCAAAGTAAGTCTAAGTGGAAAAATGAGCATTTCACTAGCAAACAGTTCACAGTTCTTTAACAGAAAACTGTTAAACAGAGCATCTACTGCGTGAGAATGAGAGATAATGGATCTACTTTCACTTTCGCTCTTGGATAGGGAAACCTTTACGCACAGACATCAATTAGTCTATAAATAATTAATTTTGTTTGTTAAGCGCAAAGATTTGTTTCAAAACTATTTCTAAATTCAGTTCTAATTTCCAGCAAACGAATAAATGAACAATAATAACAAAATGTGCTCAAAAACCTGAGTTATATCCTAAAACACATGCTGTGCCCCATATGGTCTAAAACCTGACAGGTGGACAAATCTAAGCTTGTTTTTAATAAAACAAATATAAATATGGATATAATAAATAATACTGCTAATAATAATAACATTATACAAAAGCAAATTGTTATGAATGAACTGAGATGAAGAAAAGCGCCTCGCTTACACACTGCTTAATACACACAAGAGAGCAATAGGCAAATATCTTTACATATGAAAACATTTAAATATTAAGGATATATATAGGATATAATAAGAATAGATATAGAATATAAATATAAAGGATTAAAATATTACAAAACATATTATTTTCTAGCCTACATAAATATGAAAAATCACTGCTTTTATGTCTTCTTCATCTCGGGAGGCTTTTTCAGTTCATTCATAACAATTTGCTTTTGTATAATGTTATTATTATTAGCAGTATTATTTATTATATCCATATTTATATTTGTTTTATTAAAAACAAAGATTTGTCCACCTGTCAAATTTTAGACCATATGGGGCACAGCAGGTGTATTTGGAAACAACTTAGTATTTTGACCACACTTGGTTATTATTATTAATTTATTCATTTGCTGGAAATTAGAACTGAATTTAGAAATAGTTTTGAGACAAATCTTTGCGCTTAACAAACAAAATTAATTATTTATAGGCTAGTTGATGTCTGTGCGTAAAGGTTTTCCTATCCAAGAGCGAAAGTGAAAGTAGATCCATTATCTCTCATTCTCACGCAGTAGATGCTCTGTTTAACAGTTTTCTGTTAATAAACTGTTACCTGTTTGCTTGTGAAATGCTCATTCAAGACTTACTTTGCGTCCTGTAAATAGCGAATGTGCTCTTGGCGTGACGCAGCTGTGTCTTAAAGGGAATGGGAGATGAGACTCTAATTGGTTTATTCTTAAAACACACCTATAACTCATTAAGAAAATAAACTCAACCCTTTTAGATCATGCCACGGCGCAAAGTAGATTTTCCCGTCTGTAAATTAGCAAAAATGTTAAACTCTGAGTTGGTTGAACCTCCTTACTGAAACAGGCCCAATGCGTACATACAGAAACACAGTAAAAAGAATATGAATCACAATGGGCCCTATCATACACCAGGCGCAATGTGGCGCAAGGCGCAACGTAATTGTTATTTGCTACTTTCAGCTCGGAGCAAGGGTCATTTTAAGGCATTGCGCCACACTGTTTAAATAGCAAATGCATTTGCGCTCATATGTGCGCCCATAGGCGTTCTGGTCTAAAAAAGCAGGCGTGTTTTGGCGCGTTGCTATTTTGAGAAACTGTAAATAGTCTGTTCTTTAGACCAGAACAAAGTCGGTCTATTGTCTGGCGCAAAGTGCGCCTGGCTTACACACTACACACAAGATGTTGAGCAATACGCAAATATCTTTACATATGAAAAATATATAATATATTAAGGATATATTTAATAAGGATATATATAGGATATAAATATAAAGGATTAAAATATTACAAAACATATTATTTTCTAGCCTACATAAATATAAAAACCACTGCCTTTACTTTCTTCATCTCGAGAGGCTTTTTCAGTTCATTCTATTTGCTTTTGTATAATGTTAATGTTGTGTAATGTTATCATTATTAGCAGTATTATTTATTATATGAATATTTATATTTGTTTTACTAAAAACAAGCTTAGATTTGTCCACCTGTCAGGTTTTTGACCATATGGGGCACAGCAGGTGTATTTGGAAATACCTCCCTATTTTGAGCACACTTCGTTATTATTGTTCATTTATTCGTTTGCTGGAAATAAGAATTGAATTTAGAAATAGTTTTGAAACAAATCTTTGCACTTAACAAACTAAATTAATTATTTATAGGCTAATTGATGTCTGTGTGTAAAGATTTCCCTATCTACGAGAGCAAAAGCGAAAGTGAACTTACTTTACGTCATGTAAATAGCGAATGCACTTATGGCGCGAGGCAGCTGGCTCTTAAAGGTAATGGGAGATGAGACTTTGATTGGTTTATTCTCAAAACACACCTATAACTCGTTAAGAAAATAAACTCAACCCTTTTAGACCATGCGCAAAGCGGATTTTCCCGTCCTTATATTTTCTATAATCCTTATAAAATATGGATTATGACACGCCCTGAATGTGTTTGCACCCTGCGCTTTCTGTTTTGCGCATGGACCGTCAAAATAAAGCCTAATATGTTAGTTTATTTAAAAAGAGATTAGTCTTTCTCATAGTCCATTTTTAAAGATGTGATCGTCAGAAGTGTACAGTCCTCAGTTGTTGTGTTTGTGTGTTTGTGTGCAGCAACAAACTCAAGACGTGCCGCAGGTTTCTGAACTGCACCGCTTCATCGCCGAGTGCACAGACACGCCCACATCCGGAAACTTCCGCAGCCCGGAGCCGTCCACCTGCTCGCTCTTCTGCTGCTTTAGCTAGACTCAGACGGTGCGTCCCAAATCGCATACTTCCCTACTTTATAGTATGTAAAAAAACAAAGTAGTAAGTTTGAATTTATAGTATTGGAACAGTAGATGAGAAGTACCCGGATGATCTACTACTACTGCAGAGATTCTGAAGTACGCATCCTATGGACACTTTACTATCCCATGATGCCACGGGAGAGGATTTAAGAATGCAAGCAGGTATGTGATGATGACAACATGGCGGATGTAGTACATCAGAGTTACTTTCATACTCCTCACATTCACACTATATACAGCAATGGAATATTTTCATGGAATATTGTCCCTGAAGCATACAATCACACCGGTGTGATCATCATTGGGTGGTTCCTGAAGCTTACAATCACACCGGTGTGATCATCATTGGCTGGTCCCTGAAGCTTACAATCACACCGGTGTGATCATCATTGGCTGGTCCCTGTAGCTTACAATCACACCGGTGTGATCATCATTGGCTGGTTCCTGAAGTATACAATCAAACTGGTATGATCATCATTGGCTGTTCCCTGAAGCGTACAGTCACACCAGTATGATCACCCTTGGCTGGTCCCTGAAGTGTATGCTCACATCGGTGTGATTAGAATGTTCAGAGCGCACATCAACTGCAAAAATTTAAATCTGACGCCATGCACTTAGGCACAGAAAGAGGTGCTCAGTGCTTGTCATAAATCACAATTTATGCGTGCTTTCAAACAAATAACCTTTATTTTTGGTTTCAGACATATATATATATATATATATATATATATATATATATATATATATATATATATATATATATATATATATACACAATGAAGTATGTTTAAATTCAGATGTACTACATAGGCTGAGTTCCAGTCCAATTTTTGTTTTCCCTCGGTTGTATCTGAATGGGTTTTAATGGAGGGCACTTAATTCTTGAGCACTTGGGAACTTTAATGTGGTGACATCACAATTGCATTGCATTCTGGGAAATAAAGGCACTGAAGTAGACATACAGTGCATGCGGAAAGTATTTTTCCACATGTTTTTATGTTACAGCCTTATTCCAAAATAGAGTAAATTCATTGATTTCCTCAAAATTCTACACGCAATCCCTCATAATGACAATGTGGAAAAAGAGTTATTGAAATTGATGCAAATTTATTACAAATGAAAAAGTTGTAAAATCACATGTACATTAGTATTCACAGCCTTGTGCTTAAAGCTCTACATTGAGCTCAGCTACATTCAGTTTCCTCGGATCATTCTTGAGATGTTTCAGCAGCTTAACTGGAGTTCACCTGTGCTCAATTTAGCTAATTGGACATGATCTGAAAAGGCATGTCTATATAAGGTCCCAGGGTTGACAGTGCATGTCAAAGCACAAACCAAGCATGAAGACAAAGGAATTGTCTGTAGACCTCCGAGACAGGATTGTCTCGAGGCACAAGGCTGGAAAAGGTTACAGAAACATTTCTGCTGCTCTGAAAGTTCCAGTGAGCACAGCGGCCTCCATCATCCGTACGTGGAAGATGTTTAACCAGCAGGATTCTTCCTAGAGCTGGCGACCATCTAAGCTGAGTGATCGGGGGAGAAGGACCTTAGTCAGGGAGGTGATCAATAACCCGATGGTCACTCTGTCTGAGCTCCAGCGTTCTTCTGTGGAGAGAGGAGAACCTTACAGAAGGACAACCATCTGTGCAGCAATCCACCAATCAGTCCTGTATGGTAGAGTGGCCAGATGGAAGACACTCCCCGCCTGGAGTTTGCCAAAAGGCATCTGAAGGACTCTCAGACCCTAAGAAACAAAACTCTCTGCTCTGATAAGACTTAAACTGAACTCTTTGGAGTGAATGCCAGGCGTTACGTTTAGAGAAAAACAGGCAGCGCTCATCACCAGGCTAACACCATCCCTACAGTGAAGCATGGTGGAGGCAGCATCATGCTGTGGGGATGTATTTCAGCAGCAGGAACTGGAAGACTAGTCAGGATAGAGGGAAAGATGAATGCAGCAATGTACAGAGACATCCAGAATCAAAACTTGCTTCCGAGTGCTCTTGACCTCAGACTGGCGCGACGGTTCATCTTCCAGCAGGACAATGACCCAAAGCACACCACCAAAATATCAATGGAGCGGCTTCACAACAACTCGGTGAATGTCCTTGAGTGGCCCAGCCAGAGCCCAGACCTAAATCCTATTGTACATCTCTGGAAAGATCTGAAAATGGCTGTACACCGTCACTCCCCATCCAACCTGATCGAGCTTGAGAGGTACTGCAAAGATGAATGGGCAAAAAATAGTGTACACAACAATCTCTGGGCTTACTGCGTTACAAATACCAAAATTTTAACAATTTATAAAAATATGTATCACTTTCTGGCCATCGGATATAAGGCATGGACATTTATCAAATCAAACCACTGTTATTGTCGCATCATCAGCAGCACGTGTGCTATAATGAGTGAAAAGCTTAGGTGCTGGCTCCAGACAGTACAAAATACAGAGTGCAAACACAACGACAGTGCCAAATACAACAGCATACTCCCCCCCCCCCCAAAAAAAACAGGACAATGTAATATTGACAGCGATATGTGCAATGAATAGTTGTTCACATAGTTGTAGGCAGTATTGTTTCAAGTATGGATTGGTTAAAGGGCAGTGCATGCTACATATTGATGGTGTGCAGTGAGGGGTATGGAAGAGTCTGTGTGTGTTGTGTTAAGTGTTCATCAGCCTGAAGAAGCTTTCTTTCAGTCGGCTGGTGCATGATCGGATGCTGCGGAAGCGTCTGCCTGAGGGTAGCAGAGAGAAAAGTCTATGCCTTGGGTGGCTGGAGTCGCGGATAATTCTCTTGGCTTTGCTCACCTCCTACTACTCGTCCAGCAGTTCGCACAATCCTATGTAGGCCTTTGCGATTGCTGCTGGTGCTGTTTCCATACCAGGTGGTGATACAGCCAGACAGGATGCTCTCCACAGTGCAGGTGTAGAACGAGCGGAGGATGTGGGGGCTCATTCCAAACCTCCTGAGACGCCTGAGGAAGAAGAGGTGTTGTTTTGCCTTCCTCAGCACTGCGTCCATGTGAGCAGTCCATGTCAAATCCTCAGCAATGTGGACTCCAAGGCAACTTAAAAGTGCTGACTCTCTCCACTGCCGTCCCGTTGATGGTGATGGGGGTGTGTTCTCTCTTCCCTCTCCTGAAATCCACCACCAATCACCACGATCGTGATTTTCGAAAGTATTAAATCGCTTTGTAAACGTTTATTATTACCATTTCGTGAGTCTCCTCATACAGTTGGATTGAGCACTTGGACCCGGAAGCCGCTTCGCGTGACGTCACACTTAACAAGCGGATTGCTGCCAAAGGTGCATCAACAAAGTCTTGAGCAAAGGCTGTGAATACTGATGCACATGTGATTTTTTAATTTGTAATAAATTTGCAACAATTTCAAAAACTCTTTGTCCACATTGTCATTATGGAGGATTGTGTGAAGAATGTTGAGGAAATCAATTAATTTAATCCATTCTGGAAAAAGGCTGTAACATAAACAAAAGGTGAAATAAGTGAAGCGCTATCAAAACCTCCAGATGCACTGTATGAAGCCCATAGATATATACACTAGATATCGCATAGGGACCCTGAGCATGCGTCAATAGCGCCGCCATATTGGTACAGTGCTCCCAATACAAATGTCATTCAACCGCACTAGACAAGACAGTGTTATTACATGAAGATGCGGGACTTTAGCGCTGTCTACGGGTGTAGTAACGAGCAAACAAAGAAAACAAAGCACAAAGGCAGAACATTTCATAGGTAATATTAAGTTCTTTTCTGTTTTTGTATGTTCTGAACTTTTGTGCTAATCAGGTAACGTTATTGATGATAACAGTCACTTACTGCATTCACCATAAGGCAAAGCAGCTCCAACTCGCACTAAACACTCGGCTTATGCTAGTTTTGTTGAATAAAATCAGCAAACAATGCAAAAGAAATATGACAACGAGATGCTGCGCTGCCAGAAACTTGTGTTATTGTTGGCTAACATTAGTGAAAGAGTCGTTCGGGGGATTCATTCACAAACGAGTCGCTCCCTCCGTCAGTATGAGAAGTGAAAGCAGGAGAGGAGCTGTGTTTCAGGACATGATTAGATCAAATTTAACAGGGAGGGTGAATAGTACATTTCCATACACACAAACACAAGCTTTTTGTCAGGAATGCCTGTGCGGTCACTGATCCATCAATGTAGAAAAGTGATGTAAAATTATAATTTTCGTAATTAGAAAAAAAAATTACATACTAACATCCAGGAAAACTCCCGATCATAGATATATGTGTATATGTGTCTATCTCTGGCTTTGGATGGCCACAGTCCTCCACTGTACCTTGGTCCCGCATTCATTTCAAAGGAGCGCTACCCTGTAGCAAGATGGCGGCGCTATTGACGCATTCCGTCCAGTAGACAACAATAGGACAGGCGACATCTAATGTATATATCTATGTATGAAGCCAACTTGCTTCCTCCGTCAAAATCAAGGGATCAAGGGTATGTCCATGTACACTTCTCTCGTTCACTTGATGAAGTGGGACGCACTTTAAAATGGCTGCAGGGATTCCTCGAGGAAACACGGTAAAGGAAGTTTGCTGGTGTGTGTCTAAATGTTCACTGGAACACAAGCCCTAGTCGAGTAGTATGTGATTTTGGACGCAACTTGAGTCTGTGTGTGTGTGTGTGTGAGCAAGGCATTCTGGGTAATGCTGCACTACTGCTGTGTTTGTTAGTTTACAGGTGAAGTTGTTGTAGCTGCTCTGATAGAGCATATCTGCATATTCAAGAGCGTCCGTGAAAATTTGCATATTCATTGCATATTCATGAGCATCTTAGCTTTGTGACTGGGACTTAAAGGGATAGTTCACGCAAACATGAACTTTTACTCACCTTCAAGTGGCTTTTAAAGCTTTATGAGCTTCTGTCTTCTGTTGAACACGAACGAAGATATTTTGATGAATGCTAAAAACCTGTAACCATTGACTTCCATGGGAAAACAAATGTTATGTAAGTCAATGGTGACCGGATTTCAGAAAATCTTCTTTTAGTGTGTGTGTGTGTGTGTGTGTGAGAGAGTGCGTGTGTCTGTCTGTCTGTGTGTGTATGTATGTGTGTTTTTGTCTGTGAGTGTGTGTGTTTATGTACGTGTGTGTTTATATTCATTTGTGAGTGTGTTTTTGTGTGCGCATACGTGCTTTTGTGTGTGTGTGTGTGTGTGTGTGTGTGTGTG